TGCTGTTGAGATAAGCCCCAGTACTTGGACCAGCTTTGTTGATAGCACCCTCACTTTGGGCTTCTTCACTGAATGCTAAATGATTGCCAAAAGCCCTTTCCCATCTTTTAATAGACACCTCCTGATATATGCAATGTGTATTCCCTTACATTTTCCAGTGTAGTTTTAACTGATGGCCTCCTTGTAAAGCGATGTTTATCTCAATAGAATTGGAATTTGCACAACCCACATGATTTAGGACTATAAAGCTGATCTATGTATCCACGTTGAAATCCATCTACTATTCCTAACCGGTAGATTTAGGTTCAGATGGCACTAACGTTGTTAATCTCCACTCCAGTAGCCACCTGGTCACATAGCTTGCTGTCGTAAGTGAGATTTATAGTGCTGGAGGAGCCTTTCATTATCCACAGTAATTCATTAATAGTGTCAACATTGAGGGATCCAGAAGAGCCTGTGTGCAAGTGCTTCAAAATGCTATCATTGTCATAGGGTTAAGTATTGGGGAGGGGGGAGGGGACAGATGTCACAGTTGAGTTGGGAGCAGCTGGATATTTTGTGAATACCTGATGGGAAACTAGGCTGGAATGTGAATGAGAGATGGGAAGGTTCGGTGTACATGATAAGTACCTGGCAGGGATTGAACACTGCATTCTAATCCAGCGGTTCAGATAATATACACATGGAAATGAAGCTAGAATGGTTGTGGTTGCCAGTTGAATCTTGGATTGCATTCTTTTTTCATTCAGTGGGAGTGGTTCTATTTATCTTCGTTACTGTTGCAACGCTGTTCTCCTGTTCAAAGTAACCCTAACACATGAAGTGCTATTTATAAGTAGCGTAGGTGTTCGATATTAAGATGCTATTTTGAATTGTAAGACAAAATTGCTGCTTTGTGCACGACAAGTATTTTCAGAGGTTTCCGTCCAGGACTGACTAAAATACAGTACGACAAAGAACCACTTAGCTTTGGCGGATCTGTTATCCACTTTGGTGGATGATAATCTGCGGTGTGAAGTTCAGTTGTGACAATTCAGTGTTTTGAATGTATTGTGTTCTGTGATTTGCAACCATACTGTTTTTCTGAAGCTCGTGCCAGCTTTGATCGACTGACTAGCACAGTACAGGAAGCGGGATAAACAGGTGGGCACAGTAAAGGAAGTCTTGGTCACATGGAGCTCACCTTAAGTTTACTCAGTGTGAGTGCATTCTGAATGAGGGCCAGACTTGGAACTTAGTCATAGTGAGAATACTGCTTCATTGCCCTTCGAGATACAGCCTGGAGAATCGTTAATATTTTATGCAAAATAACAGATGGAGCACTCTTGCCTTAAACTGCCAGTAATTCTGCTGCTGTAATGCATTGTGTCTCAATGCTACCTTTTGGTCCATACTTGACCATTTGTAAACTGCACTTTGACTACCTTTTGATTTTAACACTGCAATTTGTTGGAGCTCTGTTTAATGGAAGGGTAGGACTACCCGAGATGCTGCCCGCGTGAAGGGTGCTATATAAATGCAAGTTGTTGTTGTCATAACTTTGAGGTCTCCAATAAGAAGGAACAGTTTTCTCTGGAGTGTGAGGTTACATGGCTAAGGGTTGTTGAGAAAGCTGATTGCGATCTCAGTGGAAAATGCCTTCCTGTAATTCACTCTCACCTCTGCATTAGCAGCAAATATGAACAAGATGTGCTATTTCCCAGTTACATATAGTGAAATAATTATCATTATCACTGCAATTTGTGGTGCAATATTCAACAAAATTTACGATCGGACCAGCCACTTGCTTGCCTTTGGATTGCTGTTATGATACCTACTGGCAGCAAAACTACAAAAAAGACGCAAATGGAATAATCTAGCTTCAAACTTTCCAATTGTATATATCATAAAAAGTACAATAGGTTAAATTGGGTTACAAAGCAGCAAGCCTCTTAAGGGCTTGAATGACCTTGATAAAATGTTCAGGTTTACTTGATAGTTTATCATTACTAGAGCTTCTGTTGTGCAACAATCTCCCGATCATTTATTATCTAAAGCGTATTCTCTTCAGGTGGCGCTGCCTCTTTCTCCTGTTTCTGTAAGTAGAGAGTAGCCGAGTTGGGTTACTGACTGCAGTAGGTGGAGTGGGCTGAGGTTACTGATTGCAGGACTACATCCTGGTCACATTTTTCCTGTTGATACTCCACCTTTTCCTGGCTTTATGAGTGCCTTTCCCTGTATGTTTTCTTGTGTACACACAAGTGTCGGTACAACCCAAAAATAACGCAGGAACAATGCAACCACTTCCTTATTCCCCTTTACATGTCTTCACCTGTCCATGCAAGAATTGTTTTATGATCAACGGTTAGACTACTTTCAAGTAATTTCTCTCTCTTATCCGAGTGTCTTATTGTCACTGCTCTTTCTGGATCTTTTATCTTTTGTGCTCTTACTCTGTTTCTTTTCCTCTTTGTTGCTCTCTGGTATCTTGCAACTGAGTTTCCCTATCTCACAACCTCATAAACCTTATTAGCTTTCAGAAGGGAACTAGATAAATATCGAAAAAGGTGTCAGTTGCAGGGTTATGGGGAAAGGACAGGTAAATGGGACTGATAGATGAGGACGCAGTGGGCTGAATGGCCTTCTGTGCTGTGAATTTCGATAGATCAACCTCCTGAAACGCTGTTGTTTGTTTTGGGCACTTTCTCATGCCTGTCACTCTGGTCAAGCTGTCTTTCTGAACCCTATTGAAGCTGACCTAACTCCCATGAATATCTGCAGGCTGTTCATATTTGGGGGTAAATTCAACAAGGTTCCCCGTAGAGATTCAAGCAAGGTTACCAGACTGATTATTTGGCACACCAGAAAAGTTTGTGAAACTTCTAATTAGGATGTAAAAGATATACACCCAGCTCAAGTTTGTGCAGTGCCAATGTTCTGACACTAGACATCGGTGATGTGCATTTTAAATACCATGCCATGGAATTGGAGGTAACAAAATACACATTGGAATTCCTCTCCAGTGACTTAGGTTTGACCTTTACAGTCTAGTGTTTATTGCAGAAGATATAGTACATGGACAGAGGAGGAAGCTGAGACTGTAGGAATCCGATGTATTGAGGTTCTTCCTTTACATTGGGCCAAATCATAAAGTCGAGTGAAAATCAAAATAATTTTTTGAGGAGTTTTAATACTTTCATTTAATCTATTAATATTGTACAGTACCCAGATCTGAAGAGATGCTTTAATAGGAATTCCAGTGCAAAACCAAGTAAAAGTAGGACATTGAGGTAAACCCATGATTCTGTAGAACTTTGAACCTCTTTGCTGTTGGTTGATGGATGGCCGCCTCCAAAAATAGTTGCTGAGGCTCCATTCTGAGTCTTATGTTGTGCAGGTGACTCCTGCCCAGTGGCTAAGGAGTGTTCTGCCTGGAATCAATTTTCTTACTTGAAAATCAAGTGAATAACTTGGATTTGTTCCCCGCTGCATCTACAGTCTGAGGCTTCTCAAGCTGTCTCTGATCTCTTTGTATAGCTATAAATAACTATAAAAACTGTGAGAAGTGAATATACCAAATTGAAGGAAGTTTTGCGATTTTTGATGGAGCTGAAAGTCAAAATGAAAGGGATAGGTGGCCACAGAGAGAGAGAGAAAGGAAAGCAAAACAAACAGCCAGGAAGGAGCATGATGACAGGGGAAGAGAGAGTATCAGAGAGAAAGTTGTTTGAAATAGTGTACATAATACTCCTGTTTGCCTGTATACATAGATCTTAGACTGAGATGGTGAAACTATGATTAGTTCTGGAAAGGAGCCGGTTGGTTTGAATGGCTTTTTTTCAGTCCCACATTTCCATTCGTATCTGCTTAGTTCAACCTTTTTGAAGATAGAATGCTGAAAGCCGCACAAGCTATTCCAAACTGACCCTCACGGATGGACTTTAAATGGTTAAACAACCTTGGAATCAAATCCTTGAGCGCAGCGCTTTGAAACCATGAAAAAACAGCTTTGTATAGATTGGATACCATCAGTGAATAGTCAGTAATCCCTTCCTTTTTTTCTCTTCCAGGCTTGTCAAGTGACATCCTTTGAGTACATGTTTTCAATACATTTATCCACATCAACATCCATCCATTATTTTCCTCACTTAATAATTTTTCTTGCTTACCAATATTTCTCTTCCCTTGTCTCCTCTGTTCTCTCCCTCTCAATCTCTCCCTTACAACCCTTTCTTCCCTTGTTGGGCCTCAAGGACTTTTTCCACTTTCCTTTCTATCTGTCTTATTCTTTTCACTCTGCAACATATGTTGCCACCAGTCCTTAGAATGTATTGCTTAATATGGTTGTTGTCCAAGTCGCTTCATTTCTATAAGGGGTTATACACCTATTGCCACCCACACTTTTGCTCCTGTTACTCCTGGGTGCTGTCATGGTGATGTTCAAATTCAGTATTGGTCTATTGTGAGGAAAGAAGTGTCACAACACATTTTTTTTCAAAAGGGAAAGAATAAAAACTTGTGGAATTCTGTAGAGCACTGATTAAAGCATTCGCCTCGCAAGTGAGAGGACCCGGGTTCGATTCTCAGGTAGGGAGAAACTGTAGGCAAGATTCCTTCTTCCACATGAGTCTGTTTACCTAGCAGTAAGTAGGAACCCGGTTGTTAGTCGATTGGCGGATTGCATTCCAGGGGTTATAATAATAGTTTGGTCATTCAATCCACGACTGTTTGTGGGACACTGCTGTGCGCAATTGGTTTCCGCGTTTCGCCCACAAAGTCAATTCACTTTGCAGTATATTCTGTGAAGCGCTTTAAAATGTCTCAATGACATGATAAGGCGCTCTATCAAATGCAAGGATTCTTATGATTAAACCAAGTATTTTGTCTTTGACAGACTGAAGCCTCTTTGTCTGCTGAGGACACCGGTGGGTGACAAGGAAATTGAGCCGGGTGTTCGAACAGGGTGTTGGACCCAGCCTTGCCTCGGGAGCTGCCGAACCCTGATGTGAGCCCATTTCAAGATGACCGAGTGTTGGGAGCAGCATCCAGCTCCCCCTCCCCTTGTGGAGAACTGCGTGGCCCAGAACACCGAGCGGGCCTTGGAGTTCGCCGTGGTTTTCCCCCAGGATTCGTCCCTTCAGCACCAGCACCCGGTGCCCATCACTGAGGCCTCCCAGAAATGCAACCTGTGCGGCCAGACCATCGCCCAGCTGTCCGACCTGCAACAGCACCCGTGCTTCGTCAACATGAACCGCTTCTACCAGTGCGCCCAGTGCCAGAAGACCTTCAGCCAGTCCACTGACCTCCTGCAGCACCAGTGCGGGGAGGTGGAGGAGAAACCCTTCATCTGCCACATCTGCAAGATGGGCTTCTCCCAGCTGCTGGCCCTAGTGCAGCACCAGAGCGTGCACAACGAGAACAATCCGTACAAGTGCACCATCTGCGGGGAGAACTTCCAGCAGTCGTCCGAGCTCTTCCTGCACCAGCGGGTGCACATCGAGGACCAGCCCTTCGAGTGCACGGTCTGCAAGAAGAAGTTCAAGGACTCGTCTGAGCTGGTGTCCCACCAGCAATTCCACACGCTGGAGAAGCCCTTCAAGTGCACCGTGTGCCACAAGGGCTTCAAGAAGTCCTCACAGCTGTCCAGGCACCAGTACGTGCACTCGGCTGACAGGCCCTTCAAGTGCCCCTCGTGCCAGAAGACCTTCCGCCACTCCTCGGAGCTGATGCGTCACCAGCGGGTTCACACGGGGGAACGCCCGTTCCGCTGTAACATGTGCGACAAGAGCTTCAGCCAGTCCTCGCACCTGGCTCACCACCAGCGCATCCACTCGGCTGAGCGGCCCCACAAGTGCAGTGTCTGCCACAAGTCCTTCAAGCACCGCTCGCACCTGGTGCGCCACATGTGCGTGCACTCGGGCGAGGACCTCTTCAAGTGCTCCATCTGTCAGCTGGGCTTCAAGCAGGCGGGCGAGCTGCTGCAGCACCCCTGCGTGCCAGATGCCGAGCGGCCCTTCAAGTGTGGCCAGTGCAGCAAGACCTTCAAGCGCTCGTCCTACCTGCAGCACCACCAGCGGGTGCACTCAGGTGAGCGGCCCTTCAAGTGTAACGCCTGCGAGATGAGCTTCAAGCAGCTGTATGCCCTGGTCAGGCACCAGCGGGTGCACTCGGGGGAGAAGCGCTACAAGTGCACGGTGTGCGACAAGGGCTTCAGCGAGTCCTCCCACCTGCTCTACCACCAGCACTCGCACGCCGGCGAGAGCCTCTTCCAGTGCACCGGTTGCCAGAAGGGCTTCAAGGAGTCAGCAGAACTCTTGCGCCACCGCTGCGCCCGGGCCGAGGGTAAGCCATACAAGTGCACGGTCTGCCAGAAGGCCTACAAGCGGGCCTCGGCCCTGCAGCTCCACGAGTCCAGCCACAGCGAGCAGAAGCCGCTCAAGTGCGGGGCATGTGAGAAGCGCTTTGCCTCCTCCCCTGAGCTGGTGAGCCACCAGTGCCGGCCGGCCAAGGAGAAACCCCTCAAGTGCGGCGACTGTGAGAAGAGATTCAAGTACTCCTCGGACCTGGAGCGGCACCGGAGAGTGCACACTGGGGACAAGCCTTTCAAGTGCATCACGTGCGAGAGGGGCTTTAAGCAGAGGGAACACCTGGTCAAGCACCAGAACGTGCACGCACGCGAGAACCAGTGTAAATGCACCTGGTGCGGCGAGAGGTTCACAGACCTCAGCTATCTGCAAGAGCACTCCCTCCAGCACGCCGTGGAAAGTTCTTACGAAAGTTCTGCTTGTGGACAGTGATTTTAAGAAAAAACAGGATCTCGGCTAATGTGTCTAACTGTGCCACAACTTGACTACTAGGAATACATAGGGAGGAACGACCCTTAGGGGTGGTTTCTATTTAACTTTCATGGATTACCAAGCTTTCCAGAGAGTTAGAAGCCCTTACTTAGTTCAAACGATCTGGATTTTCACAGCACCTATGCCTCTGCCCTGCTACCAACACTAGGTCTCTGAGTTGAAAATCGAATGAGGTTTTTGAAACTGTGGAAATGGGTGCACGGAGATGCTTGCATGACCGGCGTCACCAGAGGAGAGTAAAGCCTCCCTCCTCCGAGGTCTGCCGCCCCCCCCCCCCCCATCCCCCCACCTTGGTGGGAATGTTCAGGACTGGCCTGCGATTGTGTCTGTGTCGGACGTTCCCCCCCCCCACTTCCCCCTTCTCTCCCCAGCCATCAGACCGCAATGGTGGGAAGCCCAGAGTAGGAGGAAGTTGGCGTGTGCAACACTGGTGCAAAATCGTTGGGATGTGATCCCCTTCTTTGTTTCGCTTTAATAGTTGAACCTCCAGCGTGGAAAGAAACTTATGTATTTCAAAATCACTGAGCTGTGGGAGTTTGACTTAGTTTAACCATCCCGGTTATATTGTTTTTATAAAATGGCAATGGTGCCATGATTATTCAGTGCGAGGCAAGCAGAATGTTTGCTTGTAAATGTGTGATATCAAATGGTTTTGAGATCTATCTCTCTTCCCCACCCCACCCTCCCGAAAAAGAAATAGGTTTTAGGAGAATGTTTTGATCCAGATTCAAAATCCAATACCCTCTTGGAACATAGGCAGAATAAGTGTATCAATTCCAAGCTGTTTTTGTGAATTGTTCAGATAGTCAAATTATGTACCGTATTTGTGTGTTGTATCTCTTTTAAAATCTCTTAAATTTCCACTTGTGGTAATTTTTCATGCTGTCAATGGCAGTGAGCATTTCCATGTGCGTTTCGGACTGCGGTTCACAGATCAACCACCATATGACGGGCATTGACTTCTTCCATTGATGTGCCGCTGAAGGCGATTCTGTGCTTTGGTCTGAATTGTTACCAGAGTTCAGAAAGCGGTACCTCTGAATGGGAGAACAGTAGCAAATTAACATTGTAACCTGTTAATCGATGCATTAGTTGTTGCTTTTGAACATTGTTAAAAGTTAGAGATCTGCTATTAGTTTTCCTCCCTTTTTGCAGTAAAATGGCTATGTTTGGCTCCCCATCTTCCCTCTCTCTCCCCAAAATAACTTAAGCCGTAACTTGCATAGCAGCCTATCCCTACAATCTCCAGACAGTTGAGGGAACGGGATGTTGCATGAACTATTAATTGCCTGTTGCAAGTGAAAGAAGGAAATGCCAGTGAGCACTGCCTCCAGAACAGACAAAATGATTCACTTTCTTTCAACAAATCTGGCGCTCGTTGCTTTTGCATCAGTAAGAAAATGCTCTGTAAATATGGGCTGGCCGTCTTGCACACAACCACCTGACTGAGGCAGTGGAAGGACTGGCCTCTGTCTTAAACCATGATCTTGTCCTCCATCCCAAATCCCTGCAGAAGGCAGTAAGCCATCCTTCCCAAAGGAAGGTCGCAAAATAAAGGTTATTTGCAGAGACGTTTATGCTTGGATTGAAGCTGGCTGTATGTGTGCTTTAAGCTGTTTTTGCTTTCTCCCCTCCTTACACAATGACCATTCCCGGGTTGAGAGGATGAGCTGACCATTATATCCCACGTATCTGCCAAAGCAGCAGTTGGCAGGAGATGCTTCGGCACCTTCCCTATTCTCCCCACTCCACCCTTCCCCTCCCCCGTGAGTTTCTGCCCCTGAAAGGGATGTGCCTGTTCTCCCCTCTGCACCTACCCAATGCCATGCAAACGCATATCCTATTCCTCCACGGTGTGTTATAGCTTCATCGTTTTGTGCCGTCATACTTACCTGGGTCAGGATATGTATAAATCTGTAGATATAAAAAAAAATATTTTTTTTTGTAAATCTTCATCTCTCATCGATTGTACACACCATCCCAGAAATGGTAACCTGAAACATTTTACAGAGAGCCATTTCTAACTATGCAGCTTGCCTGTAGAAAAAGGTTAATTTAAATAGCGGATTAAGTCGGTTCATTGTGTTGGAATACTTTTAAAAAAAAAAGGAGCGTTTTATACTAAGATCTAAATTTTGTAATGATACCTGGATGAGGAATTTTGTCCAAAGGGGACATGGGTTGGTTGCATGGATTTGGGTATGAATGTTTTGGAGGCATCTGTATTGTTGATGGAGAGGTTACCCATTGGAGGTAACCACCTGGTTATCTATTGCACCAGTGAATTCGTTTTGCAGTTGAGATATTTGCAGACGTACCTTTGCAAAAATGTTTATAACTGTTCATAAAATATAATTTATGTCTTTTTCAAACTGCTTGGAAGTCAGGCCATCACCTTGACCGCTGCTTTGGGTTAGACTGCCTGTCCTGCTGTGCTTTTCTTTTGACTGTTTCAATCAGTTTGGACACTGTTGGGAAAATGGTTTTATTTTTGAAAGCACTACTTCGACAAGGATGTTTGAGGCAAATGTTCTCGTGCCATGTACGGAAAGGGAGCCGTAACTAGTGTTTCATGGTTAATTTTCATTTTGACGTCTGATGTTGGAACAGCAATGGGTGTGAAGATATGGGCACAGCGGAAGCCAGCTGACTATAAACTGCCCACGCAATTGAACCTGCACCAACGAAGGTTAGGCAAGACGTCTAAATCCTGTTTGACTGCAATTTTGAAAACGTGGATGTTTGATTGGAAAAAAAAATCCGTGTTTACCAGTAAAATGCAGCTGGTACCTAGGGTGTTCTATGTCATCTCCATTTTGTAAGCATTAACAGTTTGCTACTGCAGACGCTAAATGAAAAGTGGATTAATAAAAATAATTCTGAGTAGTACATAAGTTCTGTTTTCTCAAAAGCAAAGCCTTGAACTGCTTTAGAAACTGCACAGTTAGATTTTAGGAATGTAATGGTGCCCACATTATGTTTGAGACTAACTTGCAGCACAAGTTGGAGATACCCCGATCTGGAGCCTTGTTTGTTAATAGAGAATGCCTGGTAGATAGCCTGGAATATATCACTTATAATTCATAGTGTGGTTTACCATGGAACACTGTTTGCATCATATGTGACATATGTTAACAATTATATCAGTTTTATTCATGGACTAGTTTAAACACAAGCAGGTGAGCCTCTAAGCTACTATTAGAAGTTCATATAACTACTTTTTTATGTCTTTGGAGCCCAGAGATTAAAATAGAGCCTAATAATCCTAACCATTTCTAATCTTTTGTAATATAGTCTTTGTAAAAATATCAGTGTCAAAAATAAGTCTTATTGCTACCATTACTGCATTATTTTGCAGGCTCTAAAGTGGGATCCTGAGCGAACCTAGAACTTTGTACATATTGTTGATCGTAAAATAATTGCGGAGATAGATTTAATTAGCTATAAAGATGTTAAATTGGAAATGTATCACTTTGCGATATTGCTAAAACTAACTGCATTTGGCTCAAGCATGTGAAAGTTATTTAACATGTTGGCAACAGAGTAAATGCTCGTTTCCATTTCACCCACTCGCTTGTAACTTCTATTGTCTGTCCTATTCTGAGGCTGATTGGGTGTCGATTATGTTGGCATCCAACCCCAAAATGTTAATTACTGGCTAGAATTGTTTTGGGGGTAGGGAGAAGGGATATGCTGTATGTATCTCACTTTGCATCAAGTCAACAACAAAAATTGCATTTATATAGTGCCTTTCACGTCAGGAGGACGTCCCAAGGCGCAGAAGTCACTATCCACATCATACTTTCTCCTAACATGACTCAAAGCATTTTTTTTTGAGTCTCAAATGAAGAGCCAATGTTTCCAGTTGTATTTATAACAAATTTGTCATGAAAGGGTTTGATTCCCGGCAGGGCAAAATATTGGGCAAGTTTCCTTACTCTGCACCCTCTGTTCACCAAGCAGTAAATAGGAACCAATTGGCAGATCGCTTTTCTGGGGTAATAATCCCTTAAAAAAAATAATAATTTGGGCTCTCAATCCACGACTGTTTGTGGGACACTGTTGTGCACAATTGGCTGCCGTGTTTCACCCACAAAATATACAGTCAATTATTCACTTTACAGTATATTCGGTGAAGCGCTTTGAAACTTCTCAAGGACGTGATGAGACGCTATATCAAATGCAAGGATTATTATTATCCAGGATCCTCTATATATCTGTTTCACTGACTCGCGTTTATGTCACTGTGGTTGAAGTAAACTATTATATTAATATATTCTGTCGACTGCTTGATGGGAATTGAGTAATCGGTGGTACCTGTTCCGAGAGAAAAATACCAATTGAGTTCATCAAAATTGTTTTTTATACAGGGTTGAAAGCAAAAATACTTGGCTGACAGTTTGAGACATTTGAGGTTTTTCTGATTCAGATAAGGCCGTGGAATGAGGAGGAAGAAGAAAAACCTCATGACACGCACTCCTTGGTAGGTAGAGATTGCATTGGAGGTACACACCATACCCACTAGTCCTATTGAAGGTGGTGACTTAATCCTGGTCTTCCTGCATTTTTCAGTGTTATGTTGGTTTCCCAAATTCCCCTTCTACCTTGTTGGCCACATACAAATTTGGTTTGGAGAAGTCTTGAGTTGGGCTCTTCCTCATTCCTGGTCATGATGAACAGAACTAATGCATTTTTTGCTGTTCATTTTTTTTGTGTGTATTATTGGCTGATACCTACAGACCTTGGGGTAGCATGTACCTTCACACAAAACAGTCCTACAGAAAATACTTGGTGGCTTAGTGCCCAGCAAATAATAATAATAATAATCCTTACATTTGGTACAGCGCCCTTTGGGATACCCCAAAGTGTTTCACAGGATACACTGAAAAGTGCAGTGAGACTGTGTGTTTTGTGGGCAAATGTGGCAGCCAGTTTGTGCACAGGAATGTCCCACAATCAGCCAGAATATGCTGTTAGTGCAGGATATTTCCCTTCAAAAACACTAGAGTGTTAATGTTCTTGTCAGTTGTGTCAGCCTTCCTTTAACCACAGAACTTCCACATCACCTTCATCTGTATGAATGGCTCATTTCATCTGCCCTACAGCATGTAACTTAACGATTACTGTAAAGTTTTTCTGAAACATTTCAAAATATAAAGTTCTATAAATGCAAGTTCTCTCTTTCTCCCTCTCTTTTTCTCTCTCTAAAGACTTGGTTGTTAAGCAGGTTAGATTTTTCAAGTAGACAAAAACAAATTGGAGCCTTTGAGAGATGTTGAAACCTTTCAATCCAATGTTATGGATATAGTAAGTCTACAACTAGATTTTATTCAGACAATAAATGGTGAGAACAGAATGCAGTATGTCAATCACATTGGATACACCAGGACTGCTGGGATTCTAGCTAATTTGTCTTTGAACAACTGAAGCTCGTTCAGTGGACTTCAAAGGATTATTAGCATCTGTCAGGAGAACTGTCAGGAGAGCATTATCCAGACATGATCTTTTTGGAAGCAACATGTGATACGCATCTCTCAATTCTCAGTTTCACACAGACTAAGAAGGTTGGCTTCAAATATACCAGCAATAACTATATGGATACAAGACCCAGTTACAAGCTGGACATCAGATAAATATGAAATCAGACATCAGCTGGATCACTTCTCTTGGATCTCTGGTGCCTGGATGTTATACAGTATTTATGTTTCTGTGCCATTTTAGGGCACACAATTTGATGTTCATTTTCTGAAGGTATTAGGGTTTGTACATCAACAATAGCCCTTTCTTTCAATCTCCCACCTAAAATATGAAGCATATTGTTCCCCCAAAACCTAGCTTGCTTCTTGGGAGTTTGGACTCCCATTTTCTTTGTTAAGCGTAGATGACCACGGGGCAATGGTTCATTTACAGTGTTATTTCTGATGTTCCATCCAGTGGTTCAGCTATCTGTAAGAGGTTACTCTCTTTAATAGTAAATGTATGTTAACATCTTATGAGAGAAATTGGCTCACATTTGCCAGCAGAACATCCACAGAGCAGGCATTACCAGCCTTCAGATTGTGTTGCTTTCCACTTGGTTGAATTACTGTGACAGTTTCTTGTTTTTGCTCTAGGTGGCACTGCAGCTGTTGTGAAACATTTTACAGATTCAAAAAATAAAAGTACAATGAAAGGCCAACTTTAATTTTTTTTGAAAATATTTAATATATAGAATTGGGGTTTTCTTGTGATCTTGTGTGTGTGTGTGTGTGTGTATGGGGAGAGGGGTGCAATATTTTGGTGGTTGTACACAAACAAATGTATTTTTTACATTAGTGAGGACGTCACTAATTGACTGAAGATGTTGACCGCATCAGTCATCTGAGGGGAAAAATCTTCACTGGATCATTTTCTGGTTTCTTTTTCGACGCTGATGTTTGCTTCCTTTTTTTTCTTCAAATTGCTTCCTTTTTGACCGTGCTCAAGGTCACCTCCTCCATCCCCCTGGCTCAGTGTCAGGCTCCGCCACTGATAAGCGTGAAAGGTGCTATATTAAATGCAAGTTGTCATAATTGGAATGATCGAGTGCTGATCGGTCTCAGCTTCCATATTTGCTGTAGGGTTTATTGTAATAGCTCTTAGTCTGTGCTATTATGATTGCATGGATCAGTTTACTGTGAGAAAGAAGCCCTCAGTTCCACTTCAATCCCAAACCACTTGGGACTTCATTTGTGCAGTTAATCTTGATTGAGGTGGGTAGTTGCTTTAATTGGAAATAAATATGCAGTGTAGAATATATAATACACATAAATATGTGCATTGATTTATACCCCAAATTGAGTTATAAATTAAAACCTGAAGATTTGTCCGGGTAAAATGATAATAAAGGGCATGGGTAAGGAGTCATCAGAAAATATTTAGCCACAAGCTGAAACAGGTAACAATTCATTACAGATTTACATTTATGTCAGGAAGATGTTCCAAGACGCTCGAGAGTTCTGGCTTAGCACCTGAACTGGGGATGGGAGTCGAGTGGGGAGGGGAAAGATGACCAAAGGTGTAGTCAAAGAGATGGACCTTGAAAGGGGTGAGTGGGAGCGAGTTGGAAGGACTCTGGGATGGAGTTCCAGTGAGTGGGAGCAGATAGTGGATGGTGGTGGAATAGGGATGGCATGAAGCAGGTTCCTGAGTGAAGGGAGTGCCTGGGTTGGTACAGCTTCAACAGTGAATGGTGTCAGCAGGGGTAGCTATGACTGGGATAAAGGGCTCATTTAACAAGCTGCTTGTTGAAGTGGGAAGGCTGTAAAAGTTAGTGTTCGAACAACAACTTGTCTTTATATTGTTCCCTTCGTGTAGTGTAACATCTCTGAATGCTTCACAATGGCAAAGGAGTGGGAGAGATGACTATAGGTGTGGTCAAAGAGGCAGGTTTTAAAATGGGATTTAGAGAGATGGTGAAGGGCAAGACAGAGCAGGCGATTTCCAGAAGAGAATGAAAGACAGGAAACTTCCAAACTAACCCCGTGATGAACAGTCTTATGCCACAGTTGTTCGTGTTTTTATGGCACACCAGTTCTGCGGTTAATGCTATGAATATCCTATTGTGCCGTTGTACATTATCCAGTTTTGTTACCTTGTTTTTCTCATAGTTGCTATTTGCCTAATTGTGTTTAGTGCAGGAATCATTCCAAAATATTAAAGAGGCCGCTACAACTTTTATTGAATGTGTAAAGTTTTATCACAAGCATGGTCAAAAATAATCCAAGTGCAATATCAATACATCAAACCCAACCCTGTCAAATCCAGCACAAGGTCTTGATAGAATGGTAAAGAAAAAAACTGCTTTTAGTAATGTGCCGTAAATATACACAGACAGAAATTATTTCCGCTCTTTGTCCATATTTAAAATGGAAAACACACAAACAAGGATTCATGAAACAGACCCTTATCAAGTTCAAATTACACACAAGGCAAAAGAAAGATTGTGGACGAGATCAGTGTGCTGGAGTACAGCACCTGGAGGCTCCGCTTCTCCAGCTGAACGGCTGGAGAATTTGAGGGAAACCCTGGCCAACTGAGGAGTAGATACCAGCAGTATCTACATTTCCCAGCCTGTAGAAGTGCAAGAATTCATTTTCAGTCTCTTGGAATAGCAGCACATTACCCGGGTAATAAAGAAAGCCATATTTATGTATATAAAAAAGAAAGTGCGTCCCTTCATGCAGTACTGTCGAGCCACCACCAGCCCCTGCCCAGATCAGTGGAACTCCAGAATTTCGAAAATACACAGGATCCTCCAAAAGCCACTTCTGGAAGGACATCTACTTCATGCAGATGTATCAGCTGGTGCCAGGGTTATGATGATCAGGCCTTGCAGGTCCTGGTACTTTGATCCAGTCTTAGAATTCCTCCTGTCCCACTTCAGGATCTGGAAAATAGGCACCTGTGCCCTCTGTGAGCTCATACAGAGCTGTGTCATGGTCCAGGTTGGAGAGTTCGTGACTGATAGAAAGATGGGGCTCTGGGAGGAGATGCTGTGGAGTTTCCTGAAGGAGTGGCTTTCCTGAATTAGATCAGAGGATCGTGGTACTTAATTCACAGTGGCACGAGAACATGGGAGTGGCTCATTATAAAACAAATCCCATAACAAACCTCCCAGTTGGAGGTGTAACAATACAGCTTTCTCTGAGAACAAACCCAGTGGGAGAACTGTTCCAATAAAACCTGACCTCAAATTATTTTGACCGTGTGACACCTTAAAACTGACTGCAAAGAATTTCCCATCTCCAGACTTGTCCAAGTCCTCAAGCAAGAGGATACGTACAAGCCAACAATAGCCAATAAAGAATGTTTGGCAGCAAAGAAGTGTCACAGCTGACCCTTACCACCTCCAGACTTAAAGGTGTGGTTGAAATTTGAGAGTGACTTTGATTGAATTTTAGCTGAGAGATCAATTGAACTCGCAGTCTAGGCTGTCACTCCGGTATACTAGGGGAGCACTACATTATTGGAGGTGTCATCCTTCAAATGAGACATTAAACCAAAGTCCCAACGGCAGACAAAGATCCTGGGGCACTATAATAATAATAATCCTTGCATTTGATATAGTGCTTTTTACATCTTCTGGATGTCTCAAAGCGATTCACAGAATATACTGTAAAGTGAATTGACTATTTGTGGGCGAAACGCGACAGCCAGTGGGACTGCAGTGCACAGCACAAACAGTTGGGGGTTGAGTGACTAAATTATTATTGTTTTTTTTTCTCTTGAAAGATTATTATCAGGCATGTGTAGGAAACTTGCCCAAGGTTTCGCACTGCTGGGAATTGAACCCAGGTCTCTCGCTTTCAAGGCGAGTGCTCTAACCACTGATTTACAGGACTCCACACTATTAGAAAAGAGTTTCCATCTGTGTCGTGACCAAAACTCCTTCAGATTAAATTGGTCATTCACTTCACGGCTGTTTGTGGAGCATTGCTGTGCATAAATTGGCTGTCATGTTCGCCTACAAAGTACAGTCACCTGACTTTGCAATAAATCCTGTGAAGTGGTTGAGACGACTCAGTGATGTGATACAATATTATAATATTTATGAAAACTTCCCTGTTGGCCAATTATTTTCTGTCTGGCACAGGTAACGAGGCTGCTTTTCTCTGAAGCATTTGCTCCAAAGAAAGAGGAATTTGCTTCATCTTTGGGCCTCCTCCTAGGGATTAGATCTTATAGCATTGCCATTGTCCTAAATGCTATGGGTCTATATATTTCTCACCTATATCTTTCCCTCTGTTCAGCCTTTGTTTCACTCATAGCCTCACTGTTTCCATCTCTTTCGCTCACATACACACACGCACAAACATAAGAATTGCTCGATGAAAGAAGTCCAAGGTCCATCCAGTTCGCCTTCCACCATCCTGGCAGTGGTATGCACATGTCATATCCCAAACAATATACTATATCCCAAGATGTTATTACCTAAAATAAATCTTATCTAATTTGCTTTTGAAAGAATCGATACTTTCTGCTTCCACCGTCTCACTAGGGAGCCTGTTTCATACATTTACTACTCACTAATTGAAATCGTATTTCCACAGATTTGTTTTGAATTTACTCCCTCCTTCAATGGCACATTGCCTTTTCTATATCACTGCCTTTGTTCAGTCTTTCTGTACTTGAAAATGTCACTTATTGGAAGTGCTGGTTAAAGGTTTTCAGTGCAGCTTTGACCCAGTTGGAGACAGGAACCCACTCAGCAACCACCTAGAACCCTCACTTAAACAGAATGTGAAGCAGAGTTTCCATGCGAAGCTGATTTACCTGAGCTAGCTCCTGTTTTCAGGGCTTTGTTGGACGGTTCGATCGATCTCATCTCTGGGTCCACTATCAGTTTCTGAATCTGAGAAAACAAAGGACATAGCAGAATAAAAGAAATATTTCCAATTGAATGGATCCATCCGCATGGTTACTGATCTTTGCAGCTATGATAGACACACAAAGGAATTGTGGTCATCATTACCTCATCAAAAGAATGTAACCAGGTCATTGCTGTTTTTTTTAGTGAGACCACAATCCTGATACGGATCAATGTGTTTGTTCCATCATCTGTATATTCCACAACAACTAAATACACTATGCTTCCATTCCTGGACTTGATAAGAACCCATTGGAGCCAGTGTGGGAAGACATGACAGGTATTAGCGATTCTGCCACATTGCTGGGCTGACTTGCTGCTATCCCACAGCTACTATCACATGGAGGTAAGGGTGGGGGGATCAAAGAGAGAGACAACCCATGGCACTTCCCAGTGCTGGGTTTCCAAGCAGTATTGACTGAGGCCTGGTATGAGGTTGCCTTGCCACTGTCTTGTGTGAGATCAGAAAACAAGAAGCCTAAAATTAATATAAAATTGCGGCTGAACTTCAACTTTTAGCATTTAATATATCTTCACGTGGCGCTATTGACTTGAGATTTCATTCTAGCTCCATAAATCAAGCACATTCTCTTCTGAAACAAGAAGAGATTTGGAAAGATTTTCTTAATTGCTGAGAATTCCCCTCTTCCCCCTCGTTTCAGCTGTAGTTTGCAGAGGCCAGTTTGTCACTTTCAAATATTGTATAGAAATATTCAAGTTGTAGTATGACCATACAACATTAACAAACTTCATACTGTCTACAAATTCTGAATGAGAAACTGGAATACAAAACTACACAATAAGGAACTAGTGTAAAAAAAAGTTCCACAGCTTTAATTATGTCATAAATCCTGACCTGTAAGATATTCACTTCCTTACCGATGCAAGGTTTGCCTCCATGTCAGTTAGATTCAGTTCATTGAGAGGAAGATTCGGGTTAAAGATCTGTGAGATAACATCACAAATTTAGAGGACAGAGTCATTTTTTTTTAATTTCACACATTTAGTCTCGCAGGAAGCAATACTGAAGAGCAGGGTATGTGATGTGAAAGCCTGAGCAGCCCGTAGGATCCGTCACAGCTTATGGTCCTCAGAGAGACACTGATCCTAAACTAAGGACAAGCAGAGGGCCACTACCATTCTGATGACTCACAAAACCATTCCAGGGGTAATAATCCCTTTTAAAAATAATGGTCACTTCAATCCACGACTATTTGTGGAACATTGCTGTGCGCAATTGGCTGCCACGTTTCGCCCACAAAATATACAGTCAATTCACTTTACAGTACATTATGTAAAGCGCTTTGAGATGTCTCGAAGACATGATGAGGTGCAATATCAAAATCAAGGATGATGATTATATGAAGTCATGTAGAAACATGACGACCATACATAAAGTGAATGTAAATCATTAAAGGTCTGATCTGGCAGGACTTTTGGGCAGAAGTATTCAATGTGTAGTCTATTGCTAATGACTGAGTAGGGATGAACCTTTTTCTCCAGTGTTGGGTCAAAGCCCATCCCCCACAACTAACGGTGTTGCACAGTCCAACCAACGACTGAGGTGATCGACCACGACTATTGTCCTCTGTGGCCCAAAGATAATATCAGAAATAGGACATTTATTGGAGTTGTACTGAAGTCTTGTTGCTCAGATATGAATCACATTATGGCAAAGTGTCATTTAGATATAGTTTCCTCAGCATCTCCCTTCCCTGTGTACAAAAATGGTTTCACAGAGAACAAATTCCAGAGATCCTTTAAATCAAAAAACTTCACCTGTGCAATTTAACCAGATTAACCTCATTCATACAGGCCAACACAGGTGTATGAAATTTCCTTGAGGATCCAGGTAAGAATGAAGTCGGGATAAAGTAGACTTTCCTCCCAGAAAGTGTGTTTAAGCTCTCCTTTACCTTCCCTGCTTACACATGTTTCTGAATCTATACAGAGTGGCCGGCTGGGCCCAGTACTTACGTCCATGATGGTGGAGTGCTCCAGGCTATATTGCTGGCCTCCGAGCAGGGAATGCAAACCATCCAGGCTCATCTCAATGTTCTCCATGTGGTTAGGCAGTTCAGTCCTGTAAATCCAAAAGAGCTCTTTACAAACAGAGAGCTGGGTCTAGCAAGGCCCAGCCAACCACCCAGCTGATATCTGCTTCAAATGTCACTGCAGGGGCTATCTGCTGCTTTCTGTTGACTGCTATCGGATCTCAGGCAGAGCATCGAAGAGGTCTTAAAACATAACACTATTAGGTTAAAACTGTAACACATTGGGGGATATTAGATGGTTCAAATTATTTTGTAAACTCGTATGACCAGTTTTGATAAAGCCTTGCAAAAAGCTGTAAACGGCCATCAAAATCAAGCCCTCCTGTTTTGGAGAGATAGGGGAGTACTCAATATTAAAATATATACCGCAAAATATTTGTAAATCTTTTCTCAATTGGTGCTTCTGTACTTCTGTGGTGCTTTTCAGATTAAAAGGCAATTAAAAGGCAAGAAGATTGCCAAATGCTCTCTGTTTGGTTATTTGTAGCGCCTTGGGATGTCCTCTCAAAGTGAAAGGCACTACATAAATGCAATTTGTTGTTGTAGCAGTTTGCAGGCATTAACTTGAAAATTTTAAAGTGTGTTTTTGAAAGAGGAAAACTGTGTTTGGGACAAGCTTTGAGAATAACAGAGTCATAGTAGAAATGGGGTTAATCTTAATGTATAATTTGTGGCTTCCATAAAAAGCAACAACAATCTGAAGAATTTCCAATTTCCAAAGTAATTTACAATGACTTAAAATGACTACTTTAAATTACTGCATGCTCTTCTTTTCCTGGGGTCAAAAGCATAAATTATTGGGACAACACATTCCTGCATCCAATATATCATTATCGTTCTGTGACTGTGATCATTGTAAATAATGTACCACTTTGAGAGGATCCCCATTTCTATGCGAACGCTCACCTTTCTAAAGCAATCCTCCTCCCCCTCCTATCTGTGTTGTCCGCTGCAATGCAGGGGGACCTGCCCTCCAGGACAGACTCTACGACTGATATTGGCAATACAGGTGGCTCCATACATGCACCGCATGAGTTGCCTGGAACCATTCCGTCTGCTTGGACTCGAACTCCAACCCCAGGGCTAGCTGGTTCCTCCTTAATTACCATCAGGCATTTCTCCCTGTACATCAAGAGAATCAAAGCTTGCTCAAGATCTCTTGAAACGTGGAAAAACCATCTCATTTCTTAAGCCATCCACACACAGTGAGGTGATCCAAGATATTTTGGAGCAATTTATCATCTAGATACCAGCTGGATAGCAACTACATCATATGATTTTTTTTGTTACTACATGTTTGCCACACTACAATTGCCCTGTTATAACAACAAATTGTGTTGCTTGACTATGTCCCTGAAACATCATAATCCATAACCATCGTATTCAATATTGTACAGAATCACGGGCTTCCCTAGGGTCCACTTTAGACTCGGCTCTAATTCCAGTGCTGTCTCCTTCACAAAGGCATAATTCGATTTGTTTTCCTTTCGCTCGAACAGGTCACACAATCCATGAGTGTTAGTGGGACACTGCTGTGTGCAATTGGCTGCCAAGTTTTGCCCCCAAAATACAGTCGATAGAATTTACAATATATTCTGTGAAGGGCTTTGAGGTGTCTCAAAGGACGCGATAAAGCTTTACACCAAATGTAAAGATTATTATAACAGCAAAAACTGCTGGTTGGCCTTACAAAAGGAGATGCTGTTTCCAGTTGGTTGACAGCAACAGAAGGATGTGATTGCAAAGTCAAACCTCAGGAGGTTCGTAGTCACTAAGTCGAAGCAAGCTCAACGTTCTAAATATTTCACTCTCAAGATAACCTCCTGAAATACTTAAGATGCCTATATTCCCCTTGGCTACAGTAAATTAGTTTTGCCAAGTTTATGCATAATTTTAAACAAGATATACTTGTGTTAAAATGGACTGCGAGAGTGGGAAAGAATCCTGATTTCCGTTTCCCAGTTGTACAAAGTGCATTTAAACTGCATGGAACTTGGCTTGACTGGGTTTTCAAGCCACACCAATGTATTAGGAGCCATGCCTCTGTTTTTGATTATCATATCATCACTTGATGGTTAGTTATCTGGTCTGAAAATAACACACTCAGTTCACTTGACAGCAATTATCTCTGAAATGTTTTGGGATGTCTTGACATTAGAAGTGCTTCATCAAATGCAAGGATGGATATTACTGTCAATAATACGAATGAAGTTAATTTGACCCATCCATTCTCAATGAGCTATAATGGCTTCTGTCTGACACATCTTGTCATTCACCCACCTCTGTTCCTCTGTTCCTGCCTGAACAGTGGCACTATTTGGAGGCGGCAGCTCTGTAACATCTGATATGATTGGCCCACCAGGGACAGGATTTTTGGAAAAGTTATTGGAACAGGAGGCGGCTTCTGTTGATGGCTGTTACAGATAAAACAAACAATTAAACAAATAATTAACCAAAAGAACTCCCTTCTGAGTCGTCTCGAAGATTTGATAAAGCGCTATATCAAATGCAAGGATTATTATTATTAAAAGGAGATTTGTGACAGCTACCTCATCTCTAGTCTGGGTTTATTGGTGCTAACAGGAAAATTATTTTGAACACCAAAGCCTTTGAATAGCATAATTTATATAAATGCCAACAGGCTTTTCACTCACCGACTGGATGAAGTAGGTATCCTGTAGGGGTTCTATTGATAGATGCCTGCTATACTTTGGTTCAGAAGGAACAGAACTGCCATCATCCAACATGAGAGGTCTGGAAAGTAAAATGGAGCAGCAGATTCGAGACTGGTAATCAAACCCCCATAAAATCTGTCCTGAACTGGTGGTGTTAGCTCTGTGCTAACACTGAACTAAAGCTTTCAGAATACAGTAAACCTCACATAAGTCATATCAGTATAGGAACCATATATTTACTGTGACTTGTGCAAAGTATGAGTAATGTTAAGCTTACATAGAATATAAATTATTGAACAGGACTTGGGCAGATGTACGACTTAGACAATTATACGATTTAAGCGCTCTGAGACGCCACCGTGAAGGGGGTTATATAAGTTGTTGTTGTGGATTTATACACATCAGACTTATGTGAGTATTATTGCATTGCAGAATTGTGCCCAACTCTTGAGGAATCCTGTATGGACAGGCATTGTAACCTGTGCACGGCAGTGTTTGGAAGAAAGGTTCAAAACTATTTGAAATGAATAGAGGATTGTTCATCAGGTTTGGTCTAGTACAACTTAGCCGTGAGCTAAACACAAAAATAAAGAGCAGTAAAGTCACAATTTTTTCTGATAGTTTGGGCAATCGTTGTGGTTTATTTACCTGTAATATTATCAAAAGGTTCAGGTGGTTAGATGATAGAATAAAGGATACTTGAGAAAGAGTTAAAGGCTGGAATGTGATGCACAGATTTAGCTGGTTCATTAACTATAATATAATTACAGATTACAATGTAATTGAGGCTTGCAGACATTGTCATAAACCTCAGGTTCAAAGCTTGTAGTCTCTGTAGCAAGCATCTGAACCCATTTTGCCCACAAAATATACACAAAATATACAGTATATCCTGTGAAGCACATTGAGGCGTCTCAACAAAGTGATAAGGCGCTATATCAAATGCAAAGATTATTATTATTAATTTACATCTCTGAGATCCCTTGCTGATTTCCTTTATAACATATACAGTTGCCTATCAGCGTGTATAAGAAAAAGGGTTAAAGATAAATTTATTCCGTTTTAGCTCCCTTTAAGTGTTTCAACTGGTTTCTGATTTACGGCAACTGCCAACGTGCTGCACATACTCAAGAGATGGGGACATGCAAAGACTTATAAGAAGGAGTTTTAGTGTGCGGTATTTCAGCATGCATTGCATTAATATTCCATTTGTTATGTATTAATAATTAATAATGGACTGGCCCAAGGGCAGGGGGGGTGGAATGAAATATGTTTCAAGCCTTTTAACAGCTGGGATTTCTCAAACAGTAACATTTTCTATCCTTATCAAACAAAATATTCAGGCTGTAATTCTCAGCTACTGTATTTTAATGATCATCATCCTCGTCTCTCTCACACTCTTGACTGAGTTTAATGGGAAACAAATATTGCTTTTCGCCTCAGGTCCAGGTCCCCAGAACAATGGGGCCTGAGTTGGCAAGGTTCATTGTATGGCATGGTCTGATAACTGCTCATCTCAGCAGAGAGGGCTGAATGAACCAGGTCATCAGGTCTTACTCAGCGGATCTGAACCTATTCATTCAATGTTCGCATGGTAACAGGTCACCTGATTGATCGGAGTCAAGCTTGCCTGGTGAATGGGGATCAGTCACACTCTGCTGCTCTCAGTACTTACAGCTTTCTCTTCAGCCCGATGCTGTTGTGGTTCGATTGGAGCTGGCTGAGCAGGAACTGAATCAGCTGTTAACAGAGATCAGAGTCAGGTGTTAGCTCAGTGAGTCAGCAGATCACAACGGCCCCCATTGTAGGGCTGGTCATCTGGGACTCCCACCAAATCACTCCTATCGTTCAACATTGATCATTCAGAATACATTGAACACCAACTGTTGGCAATGTTATCAGCTACAATGGCATCTTTTAAATGCTGTCTATATGTTGTCTCTGTCGTGTTCCCTGAGTACACACTTTAGCCTTGGTCACCTCTGGCTAAATTCAAACCTATCCTTAAAGATGATTAAGCAAAATACTTCCCTCCCTCTCCTCCCTGAGCTAAGGCATTCTCCATGCAGGGAACTTTGGTCTTGGGTCAACATTCACTCATTCACCCAAGCAGGGAACAGCCTTCTCAGCCCTAGATGTTGTTTGGCATAAGGAGCTGGGAGAAAAATAGATCATAAAATTACAAGCGAGGTAAGCATAAACTTGTGCTTTCTTGTCCTACTGCCTTGCCTGGTGTATCTGCAGATAATATTGTATGTGTACTTTCTCTGTCCCATTCAGCACCTTATTTATTTCTGTAGGGTTTTTTNAAGTCATTTTCAAGACTGAGGTCGATGGATTTTTATTAGGTAAGAGAATCTAGCAATATTGGAGCAAAGGCCAGTAAATGGAGTTGAGGTACAGATCAGCCATGATCTAATAGAATGGCAGAACAGGCTCGAGAGGCTTAATGGCCTACTCCTGTTCCTAATTTCCATCATTTCATGGCTGAAGAGACCTAACTTATGTGGACCTTCCTCACGACTCATTCCTCAAACACTGTGGATTCTCCTCGTTGCCCTCAGTAGGAAACCTCACCTTGTTGATCACCTTCTGTTGCTGGGTATGTTTCTGTCGAAGAGAGATGACTTCTCGCCACAACACTTCATTCTGACTGAAGGAAAACAGAGAGAGAGAGTTGAACAGATGCTTTTATAAAACCTGCATTCAGATGATTCAAGGATACAGTCGTGAATTGAGTAACCAAATTTTTATTATTTTTTTAAGGGATAATGTCCCCCGGAAAAGCGATCTGCCAATCAACTAACAACCGGGTTCCTACTTACTGCTAGGTAAACAGAGTTGTGTGGAGTAAGGAAACTTGCCTGACATTTTGCCCAAATTGGAAATCTCCCTCAGAAAGGCCACAAGCAAGGCTGCTGTGAGGCACAAGACTGTTTGTGGGACACTGCTGTGTGCAATTGGCTACTGTGTTTCGCCCACAAAATATACAGTCAATTCACTTTACAGTATATTCTGTGAAGCGCTTTGAGACGTCTCAAAGACATGATAAGGTGCTATATCAACAATTTAATTTTTTGTATAGCGCCTTTCAATGTCAGGAGGACGTCCTGAATGCAAAAAGTATCAAATGCAAGGATTATTATTACTGACTGTTTCATGTCCTTTAGTCGGCAATCCATGCTCTCTTGGTGACCTCTCATCAGCTGCATGTCGTACAACAGCTTGCTGACATCTTCCTGCCTCATCTTTGTTTCTTCATTCTTCACGACCGACACCTGAATAAGGAAGGGTGGAGGGAGAGGGTGGGCAAGATCATACGAGTAATCAATGTGGAGAGTTTACTGCAAGATTGTGACAAGAACAACTCAGAAAACAGATGACAATTTCCTTCGTCCCATCTTGAAGTAACAAAAAAAAATTTTAAACCTTAAAATCTTTCCGTGGTCTCTCCCCCACCCTACCTTTGTGACTTCCTTAAACTTTCCATTCCGGTTTGAGTGATTTCGCCCACAAAATATACAGTCAATTCACTTTATAGTATATTCTGTGAAACCCAAGTGTCTACCTATTGTATAGATAAGCACGTGTGGGTGAGATCGCACCTTTCTCTTGATGTGCTCCAGCAGATGCTCCTGGCCCCGCAGGAAGTATAGGTGCTGGAATTCAGTGTCATCTCGTTCTGGCTTCACCAAGCCACTCTGTTCTATGTTCACTACTTTACGGAAACCATCTGGACAAATGTCAAAAAGGGAAAAAAAAATTACATTTTAAAGTGTCCAATGGCTATAAGAATATCGGCTTTATCTATTTGAGAGGACAGGTATCCTTCCCCCTTTCCATGCCCTCTCTCCCTTCCCCCACTGGTTTTGCAGGTTGTAATCGGTTACTAAAAAATTCACTAGTGGTTAGCACACTCGCCTTGCAAGCGAGAGGACCTGGGTTCGAATCCCATGAGGAGTGGAACCTTAGGCTAATTCCCTTACTCCACACGGTTCTGTTTACCTAGCAGTAAGTAGGAACCCAATTGTTTGTCAATTAATTGTCAGATCACTTTCCGGGGGTCAAAAAATAATAATTTGACCACTTGATCCATGTTTGTGGGACACTGCTGTGCGCAATTGGCTGTCATGTTTTGCCCACAAAATACATAGTCAATCCACTTTACAATGTATCCTGTGAAGTGCTTTGAAATGTCTCAACAATGTGATAAGGTGCTATGTCAAAAAATAGGATTATTATTATTACATGAGTGACCAGAGCTATTTTGCCCACTAGTTCTGATCTTCCTCCCTGTGAGCACTGAAACGCTGCAGAATGCCTTCCACTGATTCATCAAACACTGTGTATGGAGAATAATCATAAGCATGAACCTGCCTCATAGCACCAGATGGTGTGAGATGGTGTGAGCACCATCTGGGTTTCCAGTTGATTTGATACAGACTATCTCAGAAATAACAAGGGAAGGAGACTGGGCTTTTTGACCGTGTCAATTCTAGTCAAAAACCCTTTAACAATTATTTAATTGGAGATTAGCAAGTAGAACCTCAGAACTCTGAACTTGTCTGAAATTAATGAAAAAAGTAATCCTATAAAGGGATAAAGCTATTTAAGTATTGATGACCACCTGGCTCGTGAGGGAGGTGGAAACAGCTCAATAGGCCATAAATGATCAGATGCAGCAGAAAAACAGAGACACAGTGAACAACAATAAAAGCTTGCTTTTATGTCGCATTTATTGTACAAGAGGATCTCTCAAATCATTTAACAATTGGAGAGGTAGTTACTAAGTAACCCCCAAAGTAGGAAAAATGTAGAGGTGATGGGCTAAAGTGCTGTCAAGTGAGGATTATTATAAAATAATCATTATACTTGACAGTAAATGACCTGTGAAGCACTTTGAGATGTTGGCATGTTATAGCCACTATAAAATGCAATTTTTCCCTCTTTCTTGATGATTTTATACCATGTATAGATGTATAAATGGTATACATATATATAATTTATACATATAGCCCCCACCCATGCCATGACCTGCTCTGCCTTCTCCCACCATCGCCCGGCTCCACTACTGCCTCACCCCTCAGGCCGCCAAAACTCCTCGTCCTCACCTTCAAGGCCTTCCTTGACCTTATTCCCTTCTTACCCCTGCAACCTGTTGACCCCATATTAACCTGTCCACTCCCTCCACTCAGCAGGCTGTGGCCTGCTCCATGTCCCTCACCCGGCCTGCTTCACCATCAGCGGTCGGGCCTTCAGCCTGTCTGCCTCACCCTATGGAACTCCATTCCACATTCCCTTTACCTCGCTCCCTCCCTTACGTCCTTCAAGGCAATGTCTCAAAACTCTCCTCTTCAACCGAGCCTTCTGCTACCCTCCCTGCCCTCCACCCTCCCTGCTCCTGACCCCCGGCTCGGGTTCCAAATCCCTGACTGTCCAGCACCTTGGGATGTCCTCCCGACATAAAAGGTGCTACACAAATGTAACTTTATCTTGAATAATATATGCTACACCTCGCAGGAAGACGGGTTGATTGCAAAAGGTTTGTGTCAGTTATAGATACTTCTGTAGCAGAGAAAAGCTGATGTACAAGAGAAAGTGAAGGAGAGCTGGAATTAGTCCTCAATTCTATGTTATTTTCATCTGGAACTGAATAAAAATGTAAAGGTGACCAAAGGCACATTCGATGAGATGGGTCTTTAGATGAGTTTTGACTGTAGGGTGCAAAGCAGCAAAGCAGAGTAGTTTCAAAAGTGAGTTCTAGAGGCCAGGATTGTGGTGTCTGAAAGCTTGACCTCAACACTGGCACTGAGGGATACGAGAGCTGAGCAATAAACTAGAGTTAAACATTAGGAGAGTAAGGTCTTGGTATAGCTGGAGAAGATTAGATTGATAGGTGGATTTAGATTGCGGAGGGATTTGAAAACGAATGGGGATCTTGAAGTCAATCTGCTAAAAGACAGGACTAATAGAGTTCGACAAAGAAAAACGGGGGTAATGGGTGTGTGAGCCAGTTGTTTTGTGTCCGTTTGTCAAAGCTGGAAAGCAGGTTATTCTGACTTTGGAATTTAGTGATTTTTGCCAAGTCTGAATCCAGTCAAAGCTTCCTTCAACAGGAAAATGTATTCAGCACACAAATGGTTGTATTTTATTTGTGAGATGACATAGGAGACAAATAGTTATTTATCCCCAATTCTTAATAGGAACTCAATAACAGGAGTTCTTGAGCCTGTTCCGCCATTTTATTAGATCACGGCTGATCTGTACCTCAACTCTAATTACCCGGCGTTGCCCCATATCCCTCGATACCCTGACCTAACAAAAACCTATCCGCCTCAGTCTTGAAAATTTGAATGGATCCACAGCCTGTTGGGAAAGAGAGTTCCAGATTTCCACTACCCTTTGTGTGAAAAAATGCTTCCTGATTTCACTTCTAAGTGGCCTAGCTCTAATCGCAAGATTATACCCCCTTGTTCTGAATTCCTCCACCAGAGGAAGTAGTTTCTCTGTATCTACCCTATCAAATCCCTTTATCATTTTAAACACCTCAATCAGATCACCCCTCAACCTTCTGAATTCAAGGGAATAATTTTATTGCCCAGTTTCAGAGAAATAAATAAACTTTACAACACAAAAATGTCAGAGTAACAATGGATTGTACCGCCTGTAATGACAACAACAACAACAAGATTACATTTGTATAGCGCCTTTCACATCGGGAGGACGTCCCAATGACAGCTGTCTCTGCAACAAATGTACACGTGTATTCTGTCTGGACAGTTGTCTGTAATTATTGTGGTAAGCGTGAGGGCTGAAGTACAATTGCTGAATTATTGGATTGAAGAGAAGCACAACAATGCCAACCTTCTCAACGTGGGTCCCAATCCACTCAAATAGAACAGGAAATGCTTGTCAATATCATATAAAATGTACACTAGCTTCAATTCTCTCAATATTCGGGGGGAAAACTCATCAATCAAACTTGACTCCTGCCAAATGATTTTCTCAAAAGTAAACTTTTCTGATTGTCCAAAGGATCTCTGAGACCTTGGACCCGAGTGTACTGATTTGTATCAGCAAGGCTCTTTGTATTACAACTGGTTGTTATTATTGACATGGGATGGCTACTGGAAGCTATATTGCGTGAAGGGTGCTTTACAAACACAAGTTGTTGTTCACATTGTCAGTTTCTGACACCAGATTAACAGGATGATTGAACAAAAGATCACAGAATTTTTTAAAAAAAGGAAAAATAACTTTTAGCCAGTACTGTAGTTATTAGAATGTGGAATGCTTTGTGTGGTGGTTCAGCCGGAAGCCGTATTGGTTTTCAAGGGGAACTAGATAGACGTGGTAAGGTGCTATATCAAATGCAAGGATTATTATTATAGATATCTGAAAAGGAGTAACTTGCAGGGGAAAAAGTGCAAAGCAGATAAATGGGACTGAATAGATTGCACTTTCAAAAAGTCAGAACAGGACATGGAGTCCTGTAGCTCAGTGGTTAGAGCACTCGCTTTGCAAGCGAGAGACCTGAGTTCAATTCCAGGCAGAGGGCGAAACCTTGGACAAGTTTCCTTACTCCACACAGAGCCTAATAATAATCCCTCCAAAACCCCAAACAATAATGAATTGGTCATTTTCAATCTACGACTGTTTGTGAGACATTGCTGTGCGCAATTGGCTGCCGCGTTCGCCCACAGATATACAGTCAATTGACTTTACAGTGTTCTGTGAAGCGCTTTGGGACGTCCTCCCGACGTGAAAAGCGCTATATCAAATGCAAGGATTATTATAACAGACACGATGGGCCAAATGGTTATTTTCTGTGCTGTAAATTTATATGGTTCAGTAGTTTAATTTTAAGCTTCTGATCAATCAAGTATCACAATATAAAATGTCCTTCCCGGAACTTGAGTCATACGGGCCTCTCAACAGCTTGAGTCATTTAACATTTTCTGCCACTTTGCTTGGTTTCTTTCCACCTTTTTAATTCAACATTTAAAATATACCTGGTTAAACTAGTCTGGCGATCAGTTCCAACATGATTCAAAAAAAGCTGCAACTATTGTCAAATCTCTCTCAGTCATATTAACATCCATTACAAAGGAGCTGCTATCAACAATCATTGACTTCATTCCATTGATAACAAAAATATTCCATTGATTTGCCCACAAAATATTCAGCATATTCTATGAAGCACTTTGAGAGGTCTCAGTGGAGTACGACATGATAAGGCGCTATATCAAGTGCAAGAATTATTACTATAAAACAGTCATTATACTTGACAGAAAATAACCTGGGAAGCTCTTTGAGTTATTGGGATGTTATAGCAGCTATGTTTATGAAAACTCGATGTCTGATGATTGCTTACGCTGAATGTCATTTATCATACACGAAATGCTGATAAATTCTGGTAAACAATCAAAAGCTTCCTGAGCACATTGTTTGCTGCTTGTGATAATTCTACATCTAAATTGAAACATCTCTAATGCATTAAGGTACAATGCCAACTTAAGTTAATATATGAACATGTTTCAAGTGATTTCCTTATCGTGATTACTCGGGGTCAAATTGGAAGGCCACTGCGTGTGTATGTGTGTGTGTGACTGTGATTTCCCAATGGTGTTTCAGCACCCAGTGTAACTGGGTTGCCCAGCAAGTGACTTTGTTAACTTTATGCTGTCCTTTCAGTTTTGCACACATTGAATTTTCAGTTTCAATTTACTAACTGTGTTTTCTTGTTGTCCCCTTCCAACTGCATTAATCCTCACCAGAAAGACTTTATCGAGTCAACAGAGCAGCCGTTAAACAAGTCCGAGAAGGGAGCGGTATGACTTACACATGTTTAACTGCCGCACAAAGCTTGCCATATTGTTGTGCTTGAAGTATTTGGGCAGCACCTCCTTAGCAAATCTGCCCTGGTCAAAGACATGGAAACTGGTCCCGCTCTGGAAATAAAATAAAAGAGACAACTTGTCACTTCACTGAACATCTAAATTACAGAGCAGGCACAAAACGCAGTCATCTAATCCAAGCATATAATTCATGTACAAACTAATTACTGTCCTTTCTCTCCTGTGATGCAGCAATTCTAACCGGGTAGCAATACAGTACTATTTACTGCCCTTTACAAGGTTCTCTTGTGTTTGACTGTAGCTTATATAACGAGCCACTGGGAAGATATTTCAGAAACTGACTAGGGGTTCACTCATTGATCAGGAGGGAACATTCATTAATTCTTAGCTCAAGTATTCAGCACATGGGGAATCACAAGAATGGAATCCACATTTCAACAGCATCTGGTATAAACACAGAAATCACTGGGAACACTGACGAAAGGTCAATAGACCTGAAATGTTAACTAATTTTCCTCTCTCCATGAATGCTGCCTGATCTGCTGTGTGTTCCCAGCAACTTCTATGTTTACACCGGATTTCAGCATCTGTAGTACTTTTTTTTCCAACAGCGTCTGCCTGGTTCTCAATGGCAAGTGAAACTGAATGGCCTGTTCCTGTCCTTGCATTCTTTATGTTAATTAGTGATTTTGTGGTAGACTTGTCACAATTCTTCTGGCGAGTTACTAATGATTTTTAATACCCATCCTTCTTCCAGGGATGGGAAGAAGTTGATGACTACACCCACTGGATCGTGATGACATGGAACTGCAAAGGTTAAATTCAGAATGAAATGTTAAGGGATGGCAGGCTTCAGTGCAAGCTGAGGTTGGTCATAAAATGCTACATGGAAACCTAACTGGAATAAGTTCAAATTAAAAACTTACCATGCAAAATGTAAATTTCCCCAGGCACTCGGCCAAAATAATAATTTTAATAATAATCCTTGCATTTGATATAGCTCCTTATCATGTTATCTCAACGCACTTCATAGAATATACTGTAGAGTGAATTGACTGTATATTTTGTGGAAGAAATAAATTAATACAAAACCAATGGAACTATGCTCAACTCATGCAATATGTTAATATGTTAGCAGCACGGAATGTAAGTTCCAGTAGGGGCTGCTGTTTATAGTCTTATTGTGAAATCTTTAACCTAAAGTGAAGGAGGAACCCACAAACATCTTATCTTGATAGATTGGAAAGGACACAAACCTTTTGGTACTGGGCTCAACCTTGCAAGTAATAATAAACTATTCCCAAAGGCGTGCTGTGCAAGTCCTGTCTAGTAGCAAAGGCTCAACCATTTTCTTTTGGGACTGAAATCAGATGGCCATGCAGCTTCCCAACGTAAGGGTATAATAAATCAGGCTGCATTCATAAAATAAATTAGTGCAAATCTCACCACATCTAAATGCATCAACTCACTTTAGCCAAATAGTTTCTTTGATGTATTGTGATTGTTGTTAGGTGGGCAAAAAGCATGGTAGCTAATCTGCACTAATCACATTCTATAAACACCAATGACCAAATTTAATGGCTGAAATTCCTTAACAATTTAAATGTCCAGTTTGGTGGAAAATTCTTAAATTTAGCTTAAATTGGAATCAGTAGTTTAATCAACTATGGAAAAACAACCTCCAAATCACAACGATAAAACAACAAATATATTCATATAGTGCCTTTCACACCGGGAGGACATCTCAAAGTGCCCTCACAGAATCAGAAATTAAGACAGAATTTAAGAGCTTTCCACAATTCTGTGCAATCTTAAATTATTGCAATATTGTGAGACAAGACTAGGTAGAATTTGGGGACTTTAAGCTGTAATTTTGGCTCAAAGTGCTTCACAGAATCAGGAATAATTGAGGGAGAATGATTAGCCAGGACACTGGGGGAACTCCTGGTACTCTTTGAAATAGTGGTTCAGGAATTTAACATTCACCTGAGGTAAAAAAAAATAGAGCAAAATAAAAAATGAAAGTAAAATAGAGGAAAAAAATAATTTTGTCAATTATATTAAAGATGCAGATTCAAAACCTGTGAAAAGTCAACTTTAATAAGACAGCCATTAGCTCTAAAAGAGTTCAGAAGCCTGTTATTAATTGTTTTAGTTTTATTTCAAAACAGTTGTTACGGTCTGGAATGCACTGCCTGAAAGGACAGTGGAAACTGATTCACTAACATCCTTCAAAGGGAATTGGATAGGTACCTGAAAAGGAATTTTTTTCAAGGATGTGGGGAAAGAGCGGGAAGTGGGACTGATTGGGTAGCTCTTCCAAAGTGCTGGCGCAGGCACAATAATAATAATATAATAATAATATTTGGGCCGAATGGCCTCCTGTGCTGTAATATTCTCTGATTCTATAAGTTCACTCCTCAACTTTACAAATCTTAAGAGAGTTTACGGTTCATTAATCTCCAGTACCAGGCCAATAGAATGTGTCATTTGGTGAATTTTGTATCTAACTTGAGGATGTCAATGCAGTTTTAATCCCAGTCTCAGCACCAGCATTGACACGTCATAGATACTGTATAGGCTAGAAGCATGGTAAAGCTCCTTCAACTCCACCTCATTACTCACACAGACAAATAGATCGATGTCTCATAGTTAAAAGCTGCAGTATTTTCAGAACTTTCATATGGTAGATCGATTTCTGATCTCTGCCAAGTTAGCTGATCTTAGCTGTGGCTAATATATAATAATAATCCTTGCATTTGATATAGCGCTTTATCAAGACATTGAGATGTCTCAAAGTGCTTCACGTAATATACTGTAAAGTGAATTGACTGTATATGTTGTGGGCAAAACGCGGCAACCAATTGCGCACAGCAGTGTCCCAAGAAACAGTCGTGGATTGAGTGAGCAAATTATTATTTTTTTAAGGGTAGACGGGGGCTGGGGGGACAGCATTTGGGAAGTTTTAGGGTCTCATAAAGTCCCCCTCGGCTGGAGTGGGCGAAATTATTGAGAGCAGAGGGGTTACTTCCTCTATACTGGTTGGGGACTTGATTTGGGGGCGTGGAGGTAATTCTCCCGAAAATGCAATGCAAATTCCTATGCTCAGGTCTCCAGTTACTTATGTAGAAGTGGAAAGACTAGTTGGTTAAGTAAGAGATAGGCTCACTCCAACTATTTTAGCAGATATAGAGTGTAATTAAGCCTATGCCACTGATGGTCATGTTGTGGAAGCAGTGAAGTGTGAGTATGCATTGGGGGAAGAAATCACAGTGTCCCGGACAGGAGTTACAAAGATCAATGCCTGCCAGTAACCAGATGCTGGTTTAAACTCTTGTCTGAATTCGCCCCAGGGTGGTGTTTTTTGGGGGGCAGCCAGGTGTTTGACACTTGCGGAGACCCATGACTATGCTTAAGAGTATCCAAACCAAGCTGAGAATTGCACGCATCCCACCTAGACATGGAAATTCCAGAGATAGATACCCCACCCCCCCATTCCTCCCCCCAGCATGGTGCAACTCCTGTTATGAATACTGCATTTAACCCCCTCCACCACAAGATTATCTCCAAAAATATCATTGTTGCAATCTTATACATTAGCCTCCTTGTGCAATTTTCTCTCCATCTCAGAGATTTCATTCAATCTCCAATTCTGTGTTCTCTGGATAATGAGTCGGATGAGTCCCAAAAAATATCCTGCTAGAAGAATCAATTGCCAATCAGCTTGTGATTGCAGTATTGTGCTGTAGTTTAACGGTTGCAAGTTTTAAATGATTTATTCTTCCTGCACCTAATCCAAGTCAAAATGTAGTCAGGTTAAACGTTTCAATTTGACTATTTTCAATGGCCTTTAGGCCAACAACACATGCATCACATAATAGAAATTCCTTTCGTCCCAGTGGCGTGGGTTTTTAACCATTTCAGTACCGAAAAGCACCTTATTCTACCCTATAGTTTGAAATGACCAAAATATTTCATGAATGTTTACTGTTTAGCAGTTGAACCTGGATCACATAGAATTACATAGACTACAAAGACAATACAGGATTGAAATAGACCATTTAGCCCAACTAGTTCATGGCCCCCATTCCCTTTTCCCTCGTGTATGTGATGCCTCCACACACTCAAATAAAAAGTAATAACAATAATAATCCTTGCATTTGATATAGTGCCTTATCACATCTTTGATAAGTCTCAAAGCGCTTCACAGAATATACTGTAAAGTGAATTGACTGTATTGTGTGGGTGAAACAAAAAAATTAAAGTAATTCAAATAACAAGTAATACAAATATTGTAAACTAAAGGTACTGCTAACCACAAACATACCAAAATATGTGATATTTCATGGTTTTTATCCAGACTTCCTTTTTTTGTCCCCTTAAGCTTACCATGACAAAAATGATAGTCTTTTACTTCATTTGTTACAGCCCACAATATGTGAGCTTCTAGATCAATAAGTTAGTAACTAACTCCAGAAAAATCTAACTAAACATTGGTATATGAAACTATCAGCCAAAAGTATTCTGAAGGCACAATTAAAAGCCATATAAATATTTCTCAACGCTTCTCATTTTATTTAGTGAACAAACAAATAAAGAAATACTGTATCAGTAAAAGTATTATAGAAAGTACTATAGATATTTTCAAACAGCCGAATTGGGCTACTTTTGATTTTGATGGCTTTGTATTTTTAAGGAAATATTGTATATACCCACCTCCATAAAATGGGAATTGGTTTGTGCCTGGTTTGACTTGATTGTTAATAGTTTTAAAGAGGTTTTTGCGAAACAAATGTCACTTTATATATTAAAAGCAAGTTTAGTGTGGATATCAAGTGTAACCCTCTCTCCCTTGTCTAGATATTGATGGTGGGTTGCAATCTGTTTCACTCCAGGCTGATTAGCTGTGACAGGCGGCACCTCTATATCAGCGACAAACATTGTCTCACACGTATCCCCCTCTCCCTAATCTTCCCGTGTCAGGCACTCACCGCACTCCAGCAGATCAGATCATTAGTCTCCGGATCTTCCACCAAAGTCCAGAGCTTGGTGAGGAAAGCCGGCACGTTACTGCTGTACCCATCCATAACCCAACACGCAGATCGAAACACAATGCCGTCTCTGGGTTCATCACATCAACTCTCAATCAGCTGGCTCCAATACTGACCCAACGCATGACACTGAGCCATCAGCAGTGGAACACCATCTGACACTGACCGCCAGCACAATGCCATTTAACACTGACCTCCAGCACAATGCCACCTGACACTGACCCACCACATGCCACCTCACACCGACCCCAGTGTGACAACAGCAAGCCATCATCCCCTGCGCACAGTCACTGAACTGGAACAATGGCCCATCTATACGCAGAGACTTCACAAAATACCAGCTCCAAAAACAATTACCGTCAAAATGTTCTGTTTCAGCTCAGGCCGGATCCACTGTAGGCTCAGAACAATAGGCAGCAGAGGTCTTCAAATACAATACTCTGCAGTAAACTGTTACCGTGTGACTGCTAAAATATGAGCACACAACAAACCTTTTACATTTGGGAAGTAGGATATTGACACATGACCCACCACATGCCACCTCATACCAACCCATGTTAAAGATCCCAAACTACTTTTCAAAAAGAGAAGGGAGCTTGTCCTGATGTCCTGGCCAACAGTTCCCCAGATAAAATCGGTCATTCACTTCATGGCTGTTTGTGGGACATTGCTGTGCACAAGTTGGTTGCCATGTTTGTCCACGCAATACAGTTACTATACTTTACAGTAATTCCTATGAAGCGCTTTGAGATGTTCCAATGATAAGGAGTAATATCAAATGCAAGCATTATTATTATCCTTCCAGAATTCCTAACCTTCTTTCCGTCAGAGTATCGAGCTGTTTTTTTTAAAGGACTCCAATCTCCTGTCCTCGAGTCATTAATTATGCTCTCGGTAAATAAATACTTCCTGGCTGGCTTCTGTCCTGAAATTGCCCTTTGAAACTCTAAACCTCCGTCATATTGTCCAATTGTCTTGTGCAGCTAAAAGTATTGTTCTGGGTTTAAGTTTTCAATCCCATTTAAAATGTTATCTGTCTCTGATATATAATCTGACAATAATTTTACATTTATGGAGGATCTTTCATGTTGGGAGGGGACATCTCAAAGCGTTCCATAGAATTAGGAGCGTTTGAGCTGCGGATGGGGAGCTGAGGTAGTCGGGGGGAAGGCCAATGGCGTAGTCAAAATGAAAGGCCTCAAGTTGGTCTTTAAAGATGGGGTAGAAGGGAGTGACGGAGGGAAGTGAGGCAGGCAGGTGAGGCAGATGGACTCTGGAATGGAGTTATGGTGGGCAACTCAACATGTTGACTATGTGATTGGATATGAAACAAATCTTTCAATCAGATGGCTGGACTTTGAGAAAGGTTTAGTCCAATGCCGAGAGGGATCCTGGGCTCTTTTTGAGATTCCCATTCCACCAACAGAGAGAGAGATGAAGACCAGCTCAATCTCCATGATACATACTTAGTTTGTACTTTGGCTGAATCAGTGTTCCTCAATTCAGTTAAACATACACTGCTTCCAGTGTCTATTATATTAACCATGCATGTTCCACCAAGAACAGCAACATGTTGCTACAGTATTGTACTTATGTGTACAACTTTTGATTGAATATAATGATTGAAGTACAGCAGTTGTAAGGATTGTTGGTTGGAAGCACCCATGGACCATAGTAGTGAAAACTGCCATAAGAATATAGGCGAATATAGGCAAATAAGGATTGAGAAACACCATCTTATCCCACAATTATAGGTTCTTGGCTTATTGCACCTTAAACTGCTATGTTGATCAAATATCTTGTTTATTCTATTTAACTCCAAGCCTAAGAAAGGCCTTTATCACCTGAGGAAGTGAAAAGGTGAATCGTTTTTGCCTGAATTTTTTTTATACATCAAAGTATTTCGGTCCTCATGGTGTTAACAGCTGCGTGGGGCAGATTTGGATAGGAACCAACAAACATGACATCATGGCTTTGGATTGTAGCAAGGAGTGTAGCAAATGCACTTCTCTGATGTGCAGTTTCCCCTTTATGGAAGCTATTGCAAACAGAAGGAGAAAAGAACTAAAGCTCGTCAGCATTTATCCTCCTCCCCCCACCCCCTAAAATAATGTTGTCACTGCAGGGCGGCCTCAGCTACCCCAACCTGTAGAGAATGATTTCCAACACTGAGAATGGTTCAGTTAGGAGATTAATATCTCGGCAAATATTAATCCAAAAGTCCCGTCACTGCCAGATCTCCTTTCACATTACACTGCAACTAGCACTACTCGCTTTCTTAAACTGTTGCTTCTCACATTTTTATGTTTATATTCAATAGACGATAGGCAGAATTCAGTACTTCTATCTTCATAACCAAAGTGACGTTACCTTGATCTTCTTTACGTAGATGCTTAGATGCTGTTAAAATGGTCAGTATGGAGTCGTGTAGTTTATCCCCTGCTCAGAAATTGAACCCAGGTCCTCCTGCTTGCGAGGGCAAGTTTCCTTACTCCACACACCTGTTTACCTACCAGTAAGTAGGAACCCAGTTGTTAAGTCGATTGGCAGATCGCTTTCCAGAGGTAATAATCCCTTCAAAGAAAAATAATAATTTTTCACTCAATCCGCGACTGTTTGTGGAACACTGCTGTGTGCAGTGGGCTGCTGCATTTTGCCTGCAAAATATAGTCAATTCACTCTACCCTATATTCTGTGAAGTACTTTGAAATGTCTCGACGACGTGATCAGGTGCTATATCAAATGCAAGGATTATTATTATATATTGTTTGCGGATCTCTTAGTGTGAATCCCACCTTTTACTCAGTTAAATGTGTCAATCCTAAATCAATAAAAGACAGTTCAGTGCCCCCCAGTGGGGAATCTTTTAATAGCAAAGCTACAAACAATGGACTCGTGGTACAGTACTGTGTACAATATCTCCAAATATCTGGAAACCAAGTGAAAGAATAAGTGTTTCAAACTGTCTAGGTAAATCCTTCAGCAGCGTTATGTACCCAAAAACATTGCGAACAATGTTTGTATGCTAAATCCCAGTAGATATTTTTTATGCAGTTGTTCCGAAACAGTTTCAACTGTAAGATGTATATAATAAACACAAGATAACTAGAACGATAAAATCAGAGATTTCTATGGTGAGTGGGAAGAACACGTTGTGGAGGGTGACACTGATTTTTATGATATGCCATAATATTTTGCTTGTATACATTCTGCAATGGGTAAATATTTTATGTACATACATGATTCTGCAAGTTGCTAAAATATCTCTGAACTATTGGACAAGTCATCAGCCATACAGGGTGGTCCAACTTTTTGGCTGCTGAGGGCCAGATGCCCTATTTGAGAAATGTCCACGGGCCATATAAGTAATACTGAGTTTCCCTTCCAGAAACATGACAACAAATTATATTTGTGTAGTGGCTTTCACGTCGGGAGTACGTCCCAAGGCACTGGATAGTCAGGGATTCGGACCCGAACAGGGAATTAGGATCAAGGGTGGTGGAGGGCAGGGAGGGTAGGGGCAGGAGGGTAGCTGAATGCGCGGTTGAAAAGGAGGGTCTTGACATGTGTTTTGAAGGAGGCAAGGAAGGGAGCAAGACAAAGGGTTTATGGGATGGAGTTCTAACAGGTGGGGGCAGAGAAGCTGCAGGTCCAACCGTCGATGGTGGAGCTGGGCCAGCCGGGGTACATGGGGCAGGCCAGAATCTGCTGAGTGGAGGGAGCGGACATGTTGGTATCCGGTCAGCAGGTCACAAGAGGTAGGAAGGAGCAAAGCCATGGAGGGGCTTGAAGGCGAGGATGAGGATTTTGAACTCAATCCTATGGGGGATGGGGAGCCAGTGGAGTCGGATGAGGGGGATGGGGTCACGGAGCCTGGCGCAGGAGGACACAAGCTATAGAGATCTGGATGATCTATAGCTTGTGAAGGGAAGAGTTGTGAAGGCCGACAAGCAGGGAGTTGGCATAACATAACATTTACAGGTTATGGAGGGAGCGGATGGGCCAGATGAAATGGCGAGTAGAGGATGCGGCTTTGGGCTACCAGCCGGACCACCCTGATTTTATACCAGTATGGAACACAATGAGGACAGAGCTGTATGTGCCAGAAGTTACTGTGACTAGTGCAGCTTGGCCTGAGCTTTGTTCCACAACTTATTTTAGAATTGCTGGAAGCCAGGGATGTGGTTCTCTGGATGTTTTCAACGTGTATTGGCGCAACCTAGGACAATGGAGGGGGAAAGCATTCAGAACCTCTGCAGATACCATGCAGTAGCAGTGGATCTCCTCCAAGCACAGGCAGCAACATGCCAGGTCCAACAAAGCCCTGTCCAAATCATCAGAGGAAGTTGTCTGCAAGACCAGCTTTTTCAAAGTGCTGCAGTAATTCTGAGAGATAAAATTGACCTGTTGGACCATATTTGTGTATGTGTTTAGCTGTATATTCACGATCGGTATTCCTGGCTGCAGGATATGGGGAACTTTCTTAACAGGAACTGAACTATCTAGCTCAATGTCCACTGCGAGAGATGGATGTCTCTTTGCCACAGCTTTCCACATCTCAGAAGAGATAGTTGGAATATATTTGTCCATGCGTTCACAGTACAGCTGGAGGAGTTTGAGCGGTGAGCGTTCAATCCTTAATAATTCAGTGAAGACAGCTTCAGTCAGACTGGCATGGAACAATCCCAAAGTAGACAGTTTTGGGCAAAGCTTCAGTGCTTCTATGATGGTTCCTGCAGTCACTTTACACACAAATGTCCGATTATTAATGAACAGGCTCTCCAGATGTGGGCATCTATTGGTAAGAGTTTGAACTATGCAGTCATCCAAGGTGAATGGCATTCCCCGGAAGTCAACGTGGCGGAGTTGCAAACAAGTATTCTGTCGTGTTCGTGCTTTCAATAAACTCCCAATGCTTTGCAAAAGGTCTTGGCCAGAATAGAAGTAAGGGTTTTCTCCAGTACAAATGATGGAGAGGCTTAACAGCTCTATCTGAGAGTTGGCCATGTTGTTCAGAACCTTTATGACATTCTTCCGATTTACTTCTGAAGATTGGTTGCAAAGGATCTTAAGGTATTTTATTTTTCGTTGGAACTGGCATGATGCACAGATGTTGTAGTCATCTTCGTTTCCGGAGTTACAACTGTTCCGAAGACAAATGGAGCTGTTAGAATCAAAATATCTCAGAAACAAGAGAGAATCGAGAAGAGAGAATAGTGGCTGGATTTGGTTCACAAAATGATTGTATCAATATAAACCAGAAGGAAATTGTGTCTCAATAAGAATTCATACCACGTATCTGTTTTTCATGTACAGCAATGTTGTTTAAGGGCGAGGATTAGTCTAGTTCATTGTATGAACAATACTTTCAGATAAAGCAAAGACAGGACGCTCTGGTTCAGAGGTTGATGGGCAATTTCATGATAAACAACAGGAAGTAATTCCTTAAACAGAGGGTAATTAACAAGTTATGGGGGGGGGGGGGGGGGGGGTCTGCTGGCAGCCAAAAGGTTACACTCACTTTAGAACAATTTTAGGCTGCAAATGGGAAGACAGTAGGGCTACATGAAATACATGATATATAGTAATTGCAAGTTGATGATATTGTGTGCAGTGCCTCCTAAATACACAAGGGAAACGGTGACAAAATGTAATACTTGCCTGATCTCTGTGTAGTGCCATACAGCAGGAAAAGAGACAGCCTCTGCCCATCGTCTACAGACCTGAGAAGCGATGTGCCTCTCTCTCAGAGACAGATATGAAAATATTAAAGCCAGAATCTCCTCAGGGATCTTCATTAATTCGCCTTATACATTATCCGTGCACTGAAATGCAAACAAGAGTTTCAGTGTGTCTGCAGTGTCTCTAAAATGTTTCATTGGAGATGCAATCAAGCAGAGCTGTGCCTAAATTTCTAGATTTGATCAATTACATGAAATCAATATCACATTGGAATTATGGATGGGTTGAGATTTTGTTTGTGCTGGTTTGAATTATAAGTGTTCTGCACTGTGAGGTGGGAAGCTGTGGATATTTAGTTTGGTGAAACAAAGATGTGCGTTAGATCTGGGAGTTTTATGTTTGTTCTTCCTTTTGCATTAAACTCTGAAAGATTATTAATTGTATTAGATTCTTTATAAGAACATTGTTTGGATTCAATTTGAGTTAAATTGCAGTTTGGGGCCAATGTGGGCTTGTCTTGAGGATGGAGTCTGATGGTACTGGAGGCATTGAGGATATCGATGAAGGAGATTACTATATACCTCAGTGAAAAGGCAGGAAGACTGATTTAACGTAATTTACAAAGTAGACTGATCTCTCAGTGCTTTCATTTATATTGTGCACTAAATGAGCTAATGCACGGATATCTTCACTGTGGGAGTGCAATATTAGTTAATAATTCAACATGAAATCTCCACTCCTGATACAAGTACTGTATCTGGTTCGGACGCACGGCTGAACATGCAACCCAACACATGTGAGCAGCAAAATGATTAATTAAATACAGTATAACATAAGCATGGAACTAAAGGATATACAAAAGCAGTAACTGAAGAACTGTTGGTTGGCAGGGATTAGTGAAAGAACAGTTAAAGTGATAGGATTCAGACAGGTTTTGAAAGTGTCTGAAATTTCAGCTACCAATGATAAAAATAACAATGCTGCATTTGATATAGTACCTTTCACACCAGTAGGGTATCTCAAAGTGCTTCACAGGATTTCACTGAAAATGTAGTGACTGTATATTTTGCAGGCAATTTGCACACAGTAATGTTCCACAAAGTCATGAAATGAATGTCAATTGTATCGGGGCGGGGGGGGGGGGGGGTGTTTTGGCCAAGACATTGGGAGAAACTTCCTTTTCTTTTTTGAATAGTACCCATGGGATATTCATGTGACCTCAGTTTTAACGTCTTATCCCGTCGACAACGCAGCATATCCCTAGGACACTGGAGGGTCAACACGGACTGGATGAGCTTGAATCCACAACCTTCTGACTTCAGAGACGTTAGACACGAGTGCTACCAACTGAGCCGGGCTGACACAAATGGTCAGGCAAAGGGGAGGGGTTGGGGGTAAGAAGAGGCTCGAGCTGGCGGAGCGACAAGGCAGACAGTGGGGCGCAGAAAATGTTATTCGTTGGGAGAACAAATCAGATAGATTTCTGCTAGAAAAATAATATCTTGGGGGGTGCAGTATCGTGTGTAGTTTTGGGACAGGACATGTCAAGCGACGACTGGGATGGTTGGTGGAAGGTGACCTCGATGGATTTTGGTCTGGTTTCTGCGAGCGCATACCCCCGTGTTCTTATGAGCAGCGACAACAACAGCAGCAGCAACAGCAGCAACAACAACAACAACAGCAGCAAAACAGCGCCTTTCACGTCGGGAGGACCATCAGCGTTCCCGAGCCGAGGATGAAGGGCCGGGCGCGAGCCATCGCAGGGGGCGGGGACGGGCGGGGCAGAGGCGCGGAGGCACTTGAAGACACATTAAAAAAAANGGAGGATCTTAACAACAACAACAGCAGCAACAACACAATAAACCGCCGAAGGGGTCGTGGACCCGAAACGTCGACTCGCTTTCCTTTCTCCGTGTGTCCCGGGAAGCGCTTTGCGGCGTCTCGACGACGCGATCAGGCGCGGTGTGTGCATCAAACGCCAGGATTATTATTATGGTTTACGACTGTCATAATATTATTATTAATAATAATAATAATAATAAAGGCGGTGGAGCCGACGGAGAGGGTGAAGGGCCACACAGGAAACAGGTGGGTGGCAGAGCCCGGGTGACTCACACTGGTTTGAAGCAGTCGGGGTGAGGGGTGGAGGGGGGGGGGGGGTGGAGGCCGGGCCCGGGCCCGGGTTGGCGGAGTTCGGTTTGAACTCCTCGCGGCTCTCTTACAGAGACCGGAGTTCTGAGGGAAAGTGAGGAGGAGCGGCGGCGGCGGCGGCGGCGGCGGCGGCTCGACCCGAGCTGAGGGCCTCGGCTCCTCTTAAAGCGGGTACGCTCCCCACACCACCACCCACCCTCCTCGCCTGGGACCACACCGAGAGCCACGCGGGACTTTCGATACCAGGACTCGCACTGCGCGATCTCGTACGCGTACCCACGCGCGCGGACACGGTAAACATTGGGTGGATCTTCTGCTTACTGTTTTTTTAAAAAAAGAACCCGCCCCCCACACTACGGTTCCCCCCCCCCTGTTCTCTCCCCCTCCCCTCCCCTCCTCCCCACCACTGCAGCATTCCAGGCGGATGCTCGGACGGTACCGCTTTAAGTGGGAGCTGCATCGCGCAGGCGCGGAAGTTCAGGAGGGAGGAGGGCGCGAGGGAACCGCCAGCGAGAGTCTCCGGCAGGTAAACGGCAGTGAGCCCCGAGCCCCGCGCGAGGGGTGGGGAGGGGAGGGGGTCACAGCTCAGCGCTCGCTAACTCCACCGGTTTGAACAACAACTTCACTTCCCCGGGGAGTTTGACTGAGCCGCTGAGAGGTGGGCAGGGATTGGGAGCCGAGTGGCGAGACGCACAGAGCACAAGTTAGGTTTCCTGTCTCCGGGCGGTTTCCCAACCACCAACCGTCACTTTCCAACCGTCGCAGCTCCGCCACGTGACAACAAACAGGCGGCTCCTGGTCAGTTGCGGCCAGATTTGGGGCGGCTTCACGCCCAATTGGGCGTTTTTTTAAAAAAAAAAATTTGTACTGGAGTGATTGTGGGCGAGTGCCTCATTTTTTTTACATTCAACCTGCAAACCGTCTCCCCCCCCCCCTCCTCCCCCCCCCCCCCCCACACACACACACCATTGAAGACCCTTTTCTTACACTGTTTCAAAAGCACCAACACCAAAGGGGCCACTCTGCTCCCCCATGTTGGAGACGACGGCATAATATCGGGCTCCGTTTTGGGCTACTTGGTGTAAATATTGGGCTACTTGGTGGGCTTTGGGCATTCGCCTGGGATGGAGAACCTCTTGATGGGCTGAGGGAAGGTCTCAGCCACCAAGCGAGGAGGGGGGGAGGGAGGGGGTGACGAGGCGCAGTTGAAGAAGTGAGGCGTTTTAGGTGGGATTTGAAGAGAGAGAAAGGGCAAGACAGGGAGGGAGCCCCAGAGGCTGGGGCTCAGCTGCTCAAGACTCGGCCACCAACGATGGGGCAGAAGGGACAGGTAACGCAGGGCAGGCCTGAACTTGTTGAGCGGAGTGGGGGCGACCAGAAGGGTTGGGCTGGAGATCGCAGAGGGCTGCTTAGGGTACGAAGCAATTCCTAGAAGAGCCTGAAGACCTCGGAATCGAACCGCTGGGAGTCGGCAGAGGCCGTCTCAAGGATTGTGGTGATAGGAATGCAGAGTTTTGTACAGTAAGCAACAGCAAGATTACGTTTGCATAGCGCCTTTCACGTCGGGAGGGCGTCTCAAGGCGCTGGACAGGGCACAGCTTTTCAGACCTGGTCGGGGGGGGGGGGTCAAGGGGGTGACCAATAGCATGGTCGACGAGGAGGGTTTTGAGGCGGGACTGGAACAACAACAACAATTCCATTTTTAGAGCGCCTTTCACGTCGGGAGGACGTCCCAAGGCGCTGAAGGAGGCTAAGGAGGGGGCGAGGCGGAGTAATTAGGGGATAGAGTTCCAGAGGTTGGGGGCAGAGTGGCTGAAGGCTCTCCCGTGAATGGTGGGGCGGGTGGGTCGGGTTGTGGAGCAGGCCAGAGCCGGCTGAATGGAGGGAGCGGGCGGGTTGGTAGGGGGTTAGGAAGTCACAGAGATAGGGTGGGGCGAGACCATTGAGTGCTCACATAACATAAATTGCATCAGTCAGGAACCTTAACATTTAATATGATTTACTCAAAGTATGAGTTACAGGCAAACTTCCTTAAATCGTATAAAATGTAATTTAAAAAAAACTAACAATAATCCCTGGATTTGATATAGAGTCTTATCACCTCGTTGAGATGTCTCAAAGCACTTCACAGAATATATTGTAAAGTGGTTTGACTGTACTTTGTGGGCGAAACGCGACATCCAATTGCTCACAGCAGTGTGAAAGGCGCTACATAAATGCAACTTGTTGCCCACAAACAGTCATGGATTGAGCGATCAATTTTTTTTNGAGACATTATTACCCCTCAGAAAGTGATCTATCAACTAACAATCGGGTTCCTTCTTACTAGGTAAAACAATGGCAGGTGGAGTAAGAAAGTTTGCCTAAGGTTTTGCTCCGCCCGGGAATTGAACCCGGGTCCTATCTCTTGCGAGGCGAGCGCGCTAACCACAAGGCTACGGGATTCAGAGAGGCAAGCTGCTGGCAAGGAAATAAATAACAAAGATTTCTAATACAATGCACTAATAATAATGCACTAATGCCCTTGTTTTAGACTGAGCGTTTGTATTCCTCCCACTCTGGCTTGGTGATATCCCCTTATTTCATTATTCTACAGTTAGGCAGTTACAAATTTTCTAAAAGGAATTTTTTGAAGTGGAGTGGATTCCATGCCATCATATCCTGTTGGTGAAGAAGTGCAACCTACTTGCACATATACTATTTTTCCCAGGCAGCATGTGATTCGTTGATAACTGCAGTAGTTGTACTCTTGCCTGTCTCTGAAGCTACCCGGAGTGCAGTTGATGCAGCCAGGGTTTAGATTAGGAGAGGTGAGGATACTTCTGGGTGTTAAAGTTATCCCACTTTGATGATGCAGCTCTTTAAAAATAAAACTAAATGTTTACATTAAAAGAAAATCGGACCCCCCTCCCCTCTTATGTACTTTGTTCAAATAGGCCAAGCCAGTCATCTTTTCAGTTTAATGTTAGCTGAGCATTAATGTACACAGATGGTGAGTATGTATACTTACAATACCAGATAGTTTTGAAAATTACTCATTTCTGAGGCATTGAGCATCCAACCATGTTGTGTGGTCCTTCATCATGATATATTTCTTGAAATGATTGAAGTTGAGCTGAAGAGATTTGGAGTTGGATAGTAGGCTTGACTGCCAGGTAGAAAGATGGTTCAGTTGATTCTTTTCTATAGCCCATTGGGATTGCAGAAAAAGAGAGAAAAATTAACTGCTGAACTCAACCAGGCTGCCCGGGAGCTTCTAGCTTATCAGTAGCTCTTGATTCCTGCTGTTGATTGTTATCCAATGAAGAATTATTTTGCCAGAAAGTGGTCCGAGAAAGTTTATGTGTTCCTACCCAGTCAGTCCACAGTGAGTCACTCCATGGTATTACAAGAAGGCTGTTGGAACTTGTTTTGCTTACTTTGCTGCTACCATTCAGAGAATAATGAATAACTGGGTGTGATTCACAGGATTGAATCTGATTGAGGTTAAATGATGGTTTATATACATAAAATGGATCCCCTCGACTGTATTCCAGACTAGGATCTGATTGAGAGGTTTGGATATAGAATAATGGATTCCCAGGAGTGTATTATAGTTTGGAAACTAATCAACAGCTTCTGATAGTTTGTATGTAGAATAATAGATCTGGAAATCTCTAATGCAATGCGCTACTTGAATGTCCTTTTCAAAGTCATTTATTTCCTGGTTTTAAGGTAGTAAAGAGATGAGTGTATTGAAGCTCCTTCTGATCTTTCTCCCCAACCTTGGGAGAAAGCAGTGTGCTTTCTCACCACAGTTTGGTTGGGATTGGGAATTGATCTTGTGGGGAATTGCCATGATGCCACTCCAGTTCTTTGTCCTTTTCCTTCTTTCCCCTACTGATGTGCCTCTCTATAGTGTATGATTGCTGACAAAAACTGAAGAACTTTTAGTTTAGCTTGATGTAGGGAATTACATTTTACCATTTAATTTATGCGCAATGGAGACTGTTTCCTTTCTGTCTAACATCAGCAAAAGGAAAATATGAGGAAGTTTAACACACTGACGCAATCAATTAATTTATATTTCAAATATGAATTTAATATTAAATTTAGACCTCAACGGAGAACAATACAAATTTGGGAAATTGCTTTCATTTCCTTCCTTATAGACAAGCCGTGTGAGAGACTGGCTTAGGTGGTACTACCTCTGAGTCAGAAGATTGTTGGTTCAGACCTATTTGGGGACTTTGAACTTATTTAGTCTAGGCTAATGCAGTGCTGGTGGGATGCTACATTGTTGGAGATGCTTTGGATGAAACATTAAGCTGAAGTTCAGGTGTCTCTTCAGGTGGACATTGAAGATCTGACAAAGGGTCGTGGACTCACTTTCCTTTCTCTATAGATGCTGCCTGACCTGCTGAGTTTTCCCAGCTCTCTTTTTTTTGAAGATCCCGTGATGTTTGTTCTGCTGTCCTGGCCAACTTCCCCCCAAATAAAATTGATCATTCATTTCATGGTTGTTTGTGGGACACTGTTATGTGAAAGTTGGCAGGAATGTTTGCATACAAAATACAAAAATCACAACACTTTACAATATATCCTGCAAAGTGCTTTGACTTGAAAGAAACTGTAGGAAAAGCAACCCTTATAACTGCCCAGAAGAGAAATTAATAATAATGTAAAATATGCATGCACGGTTCAATTGAAAATTGTGTCTCACTTTATTATTGGCAGCAATAATGTACAATATAAATGCAACTTGTTGTTGTTTAAAAGGTGCAAGTAGAAAAATTCCACTCTGGAAAGAATTGCTCTGCTTTTCCCCTGGTCTATTCATTGGCCGAATTTGTAATGTGCTCAGGACAAATTGCATTGATACCCTGGTAGTGAAATATTAAACCGATTGCCAGATAGATATCACATATGAAATACGATTCACAATTGCACAGTTGATGGGCAGTAATATCTAGTGAATGGCATTGCCAACTGTGCAATTGCCACTTTATACAGTTAAATAAATATTACTTTCTTAATGAGGCTGTAACACATATTGAGATTGCAGCTCCTGTTGCTGTTGAAGCTAAGATCGTAAGCAACGTATAAAAGAGAATTGAGTAAATATTTGAAGATAATTTTTAAAAAAATACTGAGGAAGGGAAGAGTAGGTAATTAAGGATTAGAGTAGATGGGTCCAGCAGAGGAGTAAGCAACAGCATAGGCTCTTATTGTTTGCAGTAAATTCTATGATTCTATCTATTCTTAGTAGGGATGAGGAGCAGAGGCTGAATTGTCACTCTTTTAAGGAGATGCAAGTGCAGGATGACGTTTAAAGAGAGCTGTGCCTGTTGGTTGTACTCCTCACTTTATGCCAGCAAGTGATGCTGTGGCTCTGTGTAAAGGCACTTGAGCAATAATTAATTGTTGATTCTTTTATGCCTGAAAATAGCTCATGTGCCCCATGTAAGTCACAGGTCCATTATTTTAATAATGTTTGAATATAATTGTTAGAAATGTTCTCACCTGAAGTCAATTTTATGGGTTGTGTGCCTTCTTTAATGAGGGAACCTGTTGGTGATGTAGAAGCTCAGTTGAACCGCCTTATTGCGAAAAGACTCAAAAATGTTTTTTTTAAAACCCTGATGGGGTTTTAAACAAATACATCTTGCTTTACACATCATCCTTACTATGATTTTAAACTCAATTGTAAAGACACTTGCACAGTGCAATAGTGCACAGTGTAATGAAGGCTGCGACTTTCCTGGGCAAATTTCAAGGCGTATTAATCTCCTGATGGGAACAATGCTCCATCTGCAGCATTAAAATTGCTGCTGTAATTCAATTTTTTTAAGAAAATGCACATTGCCACAGATCGGAGACTCACTCTGGCTCAGGTCCCTGATAAATGGGGCCTTTGGTATATTTCAGTGGATGATAGAAAAAAATGGAATATTTGCAGCCTTGCAGCTGATGCAGTGTTGTTGTTGGGTGGTTCTTTGTGTCACACCAGACAAGCAATAAACAAGGGATCAACCAGAATATCTCTCTAAAAATTGTTTTACTGTTTGGTGAGATGGGGACAATGTTAAAAGCCAAGATTCTCTTTAGCTGTGTGGGCTGGTCCCTTTTCCCAGACAGTGTGGGTGTGAATTGTGAGGGGGTGGTGGGAGGCAGAGAGGCAATGGCAACAGGTTAGAGTCTTGATGTTGCATCTGAGCTGGAGATCACATATAAAATGGCTGAATGTACTGTGATTGAGGTTTTGGTACTATAAATATATTAATATATATATTTAAAAAATCCCATCACAGCCTCCTTGCTCACCAAGTGGGTAACACATCTCTCAGTGCTGGACATTATTACAACAACAACAACAATAACATCTTGGATTTATATAGCGCCCTCCACGCCGGACAGCGTCTCAGAGCGCTTTACAGTAACGAATCTTGGGAATGAACCAGGGGGAGAGGGAGGAAGGTGACCAAAGGCGCGGTCGAAAAGAAAGGTCTTCAGCAGAGACCTGAAAATGGGAAGGGAGGGAGCGAGACGAAGGGAGTGAGGAAGGCAGTTCCAGAGCCTTGGGCATAGTGGCTGACGGCATGGCCGCCGAGGGTGGAGCGGAGGACTTGGGGGACGCGGAGGAGGCCAGACCCGGAAGAACAAAGACAACGGGTACTGTTTTGAGGAGAGAGGACGTCAGAGAGGTAGGGGGGTGCAGAGGAGTGCAGGGACTTGAATACAGGGACTGTTTGTGGGACATTGCTGTGCGCAATTGGCTGCCGCGTTCGCCCACAAATATACAGTCAATTCACTTTACAGTCTATTCTGTGAAGCGCTTTGGGACGTCCTCCCGACGTGAAAAGCGCTATATCAAATGCAAGGATTATTATTATTATTATTATTATAATATTATTATTATTATTACAAGGATGAGGATCTTGGAATCGATCCTCTCTGGGTTAGGCAGCCAGTGCAGTCTGGCAAGGACTGGGGTGATTGGGGAGCGGAGTTTCGTGCGGGTGAGAATGTGGGCGGCAGAGTTTTGAATGATTTGGATTTTATGGATGGTAGTGGATGGGAGACTGGCGAGGAGGGCGTTGGAGTAGTCCAGCCGAGAGGTGACAAAGCCATGGACCAGGGTTTCAGCGGCTTTTGGGGAGAGATATTGGCGGAGACGGGCGATGCGTCGGAGGTGGCAGAAGACGGTGCTGGTGAGGGACCGGATGTGGGGGAGGAAGGATAATTCGGGGTCAAACCTGACGTCCAGGTTGCGTACGGGTTCGGCGAGTTTTAGGGGGAGGTCGGGTAGGTGGAGGAGGTGAGAGCCATGAGATTTTAGACGTTGACGAGAGCCAAAGATTATGGCTTCCGTCTTGTCAACGTTCAGCTGATTACTGTTCGCAGGACTCTGTCCTGAGTCAGTTGGATAGCAATTTGGGCGATACACGGTTATTGTCAAGGCTCACCGGTTAATGATGGTTACTGGGGGAAGGTTCTATAGGATGCCCAATACCAGTATAAGGAAAAAAAATCAAAATACCTTCAATAAAATTAGTGAAGAATAATAATAATCCTTGCATTTGATATAGCGCCTTATCATATCTTCGAGATGTCTCAAAGTACTTCACAGATTATACTGTAAAGTGAATTGACTATTTTGTGGGCAAATCGCAGCAGCCAATTGCACACAGCAGTGTCCCACAAACAGTCATGGATTGAGTGACCAAATTATTTTTAATTATTTTGAAGGAATTATTACCCCTGGAAAAGCGATCCGCCAATCGACTAACAAACGGGTTCCTACTTACTGCAAGGTAAACAGGCATGTGGAGTAAGGAAACTTGCCCAACATTTTGCCTGCCGGGAAACAAACCCAGGTCCTCTTAGTTTGCAAAGCGAGTGCTCTAACCACTAAGCTACAGGGCTCTATAGAATAACAATTCCCTGCAAAAAGAGCAGAATGTTTGAGTACTATGGGCCGAGTGGTTAGTGCGATCTGCCCATAGAGAGTTCCACATCTCAAATGGACTATCAGAACAGGCACTGAGCGGAGACTAGGTGATTACCCACCAGAAGTCGCATTAGTGAATGCGTCACCGTTAGCTGATATTGCACACTTCCTCAGCAGTTTGTTGTAGACCAATTGTATTGGCAACCCCATCTGACCTGTGAGGATTGGAGATAAGTCCCTTAAAGGAGGCTGGGGACTAACTAGAGAAAGCTTTTAAAAGGTACAGGAAGAATTAAGGTAAATAATTTTTTTAAGAACATGTCCAAACATTTACAATCGAGAGGGGAATAGTGATTTACAAGCAGCTTGTTAAGACCAGTGCTCCATTTGAAAACTGAAAGGAGGGCTGACTGCCTGAGGCGCCATGAGGAAGCTCATTCTCTTTGGTTACCGGATGAACGCATTGCAGGAAGGGCCTGTAATAACATCAGGGATGAGGAAGCTATGGAGCTTTGAGACAGACTGATTGAGCCAATCAATTTTACTACAGTATTTGCCAAGCTTTTTTTCAAGTTCACTCAAAGTTATGTACAGTTTGATAAAGAAGTTGCCTTCTGCTCCCTGAGTTTCTCTGGAACAATGGACCGCAGGAGGATTAAAAGGCTTGACTGCAGGTTCTCAGTTACAATTTTTTGTAAGTGTGGATTTATCTTTCAATGAATTATATACAATTTGGCAAAGTGGTAAAATTCATACCTGTGGGGTGGGGAGTGTTAAAACATCATTGCATTTGGTATAGTGCTTTTCACGATAAGAGGACTAACATTCAGAATGTTGAGGAACACCACCTATTGAAAGAATGCTTTAATGAGAATTTGGCTCTGAATCTAACTGGATGATGCAGACATGGGGGTGATTAAAAAAGAAAAAGTTTTCCACCCCCTAGAGCTAGAATATCTACTACTCGAAAAGACAAAATACACACAAATGGGTGTGGGCGACATTTTGGCAATAGCAGATATTGCAGTGGAAATGGTTGCTTTTTTAAGTTTCCTATCAAAACCACTTAGATTTCTTTGCACTAGTCATATTAATCATCCTCTAACTCACAATGCTATGCACTTATCCTCCATTACTCCTGAATTTACTGCTGCATTGAATCGCGAGAAATGATGTCCTGACATTTCACGTGCATTGAATTGCAGAAAACATAGTCTTAAAAAAATAGCAATCTTGTTTATATTTTCCTGTTATAAACCACCAATGGATTGCTGCATCAGCTTATAATAGACCATGTAGAATTTATTGAATAATAATAGTAATCCTTGTATTTGATATAGCGCCTTATCACGTCTTCGAGATGTCTCAAAGCACTTCATAGAATATATTGTAAAGTGAATTGACTGTATTTTGTGGGTGAATGTGCTAGCGGCAGAACTTACTCATTTCACCAGTCTTTTTATTGTTATCTTGGTTGACTGTCCTGATATAGAAAAAAAACATCAACACTTGTCTCTCTATAACACACGAAAGCCTCTTGCCAATATTTGATTTTGATTTTGTCTGCTGTTGCTCATATTGATACAAGGCAGTGTTCTTGTTTTGCTTGTTTGCAGGTGCTAAGCATGGACTCAGTGGCTCCATCCTGGGTGGGCAGTGCGTTTCTCTTCATCAAATCAGATGATGTGGACCTGTCCTCTCTCTTCCAAAATGAAAAGACGCAGCTCAAGGTTTACAAAGCTTTGAAAATTGCCCTTGCAGGTATGTTCCAACTCGGTTTCTCTCGCTATAAGATGCTCTCAGTTTATTCCGGCATTGTATGTTTGACTATGAAGGTCCAAGTTCCCCCCTCCAAGGCTGTCGATGGTGTATAATCTGAATATTTTCATTTATTATCAATATATCAACATTTAAATACTGAATAATGGTTTTACATCAGTAAGAAACATGTACACAGCCCTGGATGGAAGTTAAAGAACATTATGTTTATGATAGACGCTCAATTCTTACAGCAATGAATGGACGTCTTTGCAGCCCAAACATCAACAACTTACATTTTTACAGTGCTTTTCATCTAAATAAATTGATTCAAAGTACTTCACAGAATGCAATTAATTAGAAATTAAGTGATTGTTACAATGTAGGCAAATTTGACATCTAATTAACAGCATGTCCGCTTGACTCAGTATCCTCTCGCCTCTGAAATTGATTGAATCTCAGGGACTAACACTCAGTTTATGGGTTCAAATCCCATATCGGGACTTGAACTCACATGGTCCAAGCTGACACTCCAACGTAGTGCTGCATTGTCAAAGGTGCTATCCTTCAGAAGAGACATTAAACCGAGGTCCCGTCTGCCTGTTTAAAGATCCCATTGCGCTATTCAAAAAGAGACAGAGTTCCTCCTGGTGTCCTGGTCAACAATCCCCCAAATAAAATAGGTAATTTATTTCATGGCTGTTTTTGGGTCAATGCTGGGCACAATTGGGCTACCGCGTTTGCCTGATTTCTGTGATGCGCTTTGAGACGTCCTTCCAAAATGATAAAACGCTATACCAAATGCAAGGATTATTGTATTATAATTATTATTATTACTTTGAGCCAGTGAAATCTTACAAGTGACAATCAGTAGACAACTCATAAGAAATTTTGGGATGAACTTGAATCAAGGGGGAATATAAGCCAGGGGAACTGAGAGGAAAGCTCCAATTTTCTTTGAGGAAGCAGTAGCCCTCACAATATTGAGATATTTATTGAAACTTTTAAAATCCTATTGAGAAGATACACCTGGTTGAACACTGATCAGCAACTACTGCATTTTTTTAAAAAAAGTCCTAATTTATCCTTGTTTTAAAGAAAAATGTCACATTTCCTCTTCCAATCTGCATTGTCTTTTACATTTATCTTTGTTGAAATCCATTAGCTATTCCTAAACCCATCATTTAACTTGTCAGGGAGTCCACCTTTGATCCAAATCAGCTGAAGCCTGATGTAGAGCTGGTGTCCATCCAAGTACAGTGAGCTTTCAGATCAAGATCAGGTCGGCTGAATCACTTCCCATAGTCTTGATTTGCTGCAAGCTATTTTCAGAATAAGCCAAGCTTTAATCATCTGTTAAAGAGCTACTGTTGCTTCTTTCAACCCCTCCCCCAGAACATCAAAACACAGGGCATTGCAAAGCAGTTTCAATAAGTGTCAATATCTTTGTTAGAAACCCATCAGCTTGCTATGTGGTTTCTATTTTTAGGTTTAAATTTCTAAAATGCACAGGCTTTCTTTTTATTCTTAACACAATGAATCCACTTTGCTTCCAGGAGCGGTTTTACAGGCTAGCATGACTGGTTTAAGACTCAAAATGTTCATCTTGATCAGATATTTGCATCATGCTGTGCAAATGAAGAGCGGTTGGTGTCATTTCTTCTCCATTTTACAGACGCTACGGGAAGCGGGGGAGGCTGTGAAATCTTGAAAGTTTACGAAAGTACCTTTGGAATGCAGCTGAAGTTTACTAAGGAAGACAGGTGTCTGAAGTTCCTGCACAGCTATAAAAATAAAGCTCTGCAGCAGGCTCTGCAGAGTCATTTTGAAAAGCTGTCCATACCTATGACAACCTTCAGCACAGAGCTCAAAGCTGGCACAATGAAGCTGGATGAATTCCTGGACCAAGAGGAGATTTGCATAAGACATATAAAAGAGAACATGGTATGTAAGATGGGGGAAGAGGGGCGAGTCTTAACTGGAGGAAAAGAGCAACATTCCCTTTGATCATCAGAGTTCTATTTGCAAAGATTGGGGAAGTCTGTTTACTGAAAAGATGCTAATGAATGTAATTTGTTTTGTAAGGAACAGTATCCACGTTCCAGCATTCTGTGTCACTGCCAAGGAGTATACAGGATTCAGTATCCTGAGTGCCTACAAAGTACTGTGAACTTAATGTTACTAAGCTGGCTTGCCTGGTTTCTGTTCTGACCAGATTTACTCACACTTTGAATCATTTCAGGATCAGTTTTCTTTATCGTTTTCAGCCGAACCACCTCCGAGATGATAAAATCAGCGAACTGGAGGAGGATCTCAAGCGTCTTGTACTCTGCAATACAAGCTACTCGAGTATTGCAGCGCAACATAGTGTCGTACCGGCAGAAACACCTTCACCAATGTCTCCATCATGTTTGTCTTCATCTTCATCCTCTCCCAGTCAAGGAAATGGAAGTCCGTTGTGCTTGCCAAATCACTTTGAATTTCATGATACTTTATTTGGTGAGTGAGTGGCCACTGACTGGGTTTTGGTGCTTCTTTGGTGTATTTGAATATTAGTGTCTAGGATCGTTCCGTACTTGAATATCAGTGGTCTGAATGTTGATGTACTTGAATATTAGTGGACTGGATGTTTGTCCTTGAATGTTGAGCATGCTGGTCTGTATTTTTGTAGTGCTAACGAGAAAGCAGAACTTCCCTTATTCTTGAGAGCCATTTGGCACAGCGTGTGGAAATGCTGATGTGTGCTGCAGCAGGGAGTTTCCCATTTGAACTCTCGCTGATCCGCATGCAATTAATTCCCCATCTAAGCCAGTTCTCAATGGCACGAGGGAAAGTCAGTCCATGCTGTTTCTGTGGGGTATTCAGACCAGCTTGAATGGAATTGGCAGGAACCTGGGAAAAGTTTATCCACCTGCTGTATTGATCTGGGAACGCCTGAATCATACTGGGAACCTGGACAGAATGAGAGCAGCAACATTACAATGGGGGTGAGAGAGAAGCTTGTAGCCCTTCCATGTGAATATTAACATGTCATCTAATGGAAGCCAATTCTAGGGCATTGCTGTACAGCTGCCACCGGAAGTTGAGATTATTGGAGTCGCGGGTGTATTTGAGGTGACATTATATACAGACTAATCTGATTTTTCATTTTAAAAAACTCAAGGTCTGGGATTTGTAAGAAGGGGGAAGATTAATAATAATCCTTGCATTTGATAAAGCACTTTTCACGTCTTCTAGACGTCTCAAAGCTCTTCACAGAATATGCTGTAAAGTGAATTGACCGTATATTAGTGGACGAAACGCGGCAGCCAATTGCGACAGCAGTGTCCCACAAACAGTCGTGGTTTGAAAATGACCAACTTATTATTGTTTTTTGGATTTTGGAGGGATTATTATTAGGCGTGTGGAGTAACGAAACTTGCCCAAGGTTTCGCCCTGCCTGGAATTTAACCCAGTTGTCTCGCTTGCAAGGTGAGTGCTCTACCCACTGAGCTACAGGACTCCACAGGGAATCAGCCAGGGAAGGCTGAATGGTGACTTCACTATTTAGTAAGTGGGGAAGATTGATAAAGAGGTTTTGCATTGAGTTACATAAACTGAAATGAAGGAAACAGACCATTGGTCCAAACTAGTCTGTGTTTGTGTTTATGCTCCACACAAGCCTCGTTCTGTATCTCTCTATTACCTTCTCCCTCATGAATGAAGTGGAAACAGCCTATCATTGTCCATATTAATCAAATCTTAAAACACCTCCATCAGATCTCGACCTCAACATCTCAACTCTGGACAGAAAAACTGCAACCTGTCCGGTCTTTCTTGATGGCTGTATCCATTCATCCCTGGTAACATCTTTGTAAATCTCAATGCTGTGCTTTCTCCAATGCTCAAATATCCTTCCAGTAATATGGCAACCAGAACTGTACACAGTACAGTTTATAGTTAACTTTTCATTGCTTTTCCCCTCAGAGGACCATGTGCTGAATCACAATGATCATTGCTCATTTGCCAAATACGTGGGCAGGAACTGGAAGCAGGTCGGTCGCTCTTTACAAGCAAACTGCCGAGGTCTCCGGTACTCTGCCATTGACAACATAGCCTATGAATTTGAGCGGGAAGGATTGTATGAGCAGGCGTATCAGATGCTGCTCAAGTTCATTCAGTGCGAAGGGAAGAAAGCTTTCATGAGCCGGCTAATCGCAGCTTTGGAGGAGAATGAACTTATTGGAATTGCAGAGAAATTACTGAACATCTCAAATGATTAAGTGGGAGACGAGTGCATATAAGAAAAGGAACTACTATATTTTATACTATGATGAGAAGCTGAAAGGTGTCTGGGAGCATATGAAATGTATATTATCTGCCCTTGCGAAAGTGAATTATTCTGTCTGAGCAATTGCCTTTTTAATTGTCTTTTTACGGTTTGACTGGAGTAAGTTGAGGGGAGTTGACTTCCTTCTGTATGTTTAAACTCTTCAAAGCCATTTATATTCTGAATAATAACTTTACCCTGTTGTCATATAACTTTATATGGTAATGTTTTCATGTCAGTTATGCATCAATTTTTCCTTTAATGATTTGCAGTCCAAGATGTGCAGATCATGCTGTGTTAGTACAAGTACTGTATCTCTTAAACCCCACAAATGCCATCTCTTCAGAATCTTTACCTCTTCATTGTTCCAACTGCAGATTTGTTGGGACACATTAGCAGTTATTCTGAGAATCCATTTGCTTGTGTAATTTATGGGTGTCTGTAGTTCACATTTGTTGCTCTATGTAGTACTGCTGTGAATTGTTTTAAAACATTTTTAAGAAAGTATTTTAAAATTAACACAATAACTACAAATTACATTTCTATAGCTCCTTTCATGGAGTTTCTGGAGGACACCCAAGGTGCTGGACAGTCAGGGATTTGTAACCCAGCTGGGGTTGGGATCAGGATTGGTGGAGGGTAGGGCTTTTATTTTTTCGTTTTCTTTTCTTCAACCATGCCCTCGGCCACCCCCCCTTCCCTTCCCTGACCCCAGCTCAGGTCTGAAATGATGTACTCTGTCCAGCGCCTTGGGACGTCCTCCCGACGTGAAAGGCGCTATACAAATGTTGTTGTTGTTGTTGTTGAAAGGTGACCGAAAGTGCAGTTGAAGAAGAGTCTTGAGACGAGTCTTGAAGGAGCAAGGGTGGGTTCGAGACAAAGGGACTGAGGGATGGAGTTCCAAAGGTGGGGACTGAAGGTCCGACCTCTGATGGAGCGGCAAGCTAGGTGGAGGACATGGAGAAGGCTGGTGCTCGCTGAGCGGAAGGAGTGGACAGGTCTCTGGAGTTATAGACGTGAAAGGGCAACGACCAAATCCATTACAGGAGTTAACTCAACTCTGACCTAATGTGTTTTTTTTAAATGCTCTAATCTGTAAGAGTTTTTTTGAGATTGGGGACTGGTAATTTCAGTTTAATCAGAAATTACATTGACTACACAGCCCTCCCATTATGAGGTCAAAACATTTGGGAGTATGCAACTTCCAATTATTGAATAAGGTAGTGTTTAAGAAAGGCAGGGAAATTGGGTGACCGACCACCAATGAGGAATGAACCAGGTGGCTTCTGATCTGGTCAATATGCGTTGGAGACTCTGAAACGAAGGTATTCTACCTCGTGGAACTTTTTGACCTGTGCTCTGCATAGAATGGTAATACTCCTAGTTTACTGATTTCTTTCCCAGGATTCTACAGACAAATGCTGACATCTAGTTTATTGCTCTGTTGTCAAAAGAGCTGGAGCGACAAAGTTTCTTTTTGAATGAGTGATGGAAATTTAACCTGCATCTTGGATGGACAATCTACAGGAGAATCAACACTGAAGAGTGTGATACTGATGTGCTTTTTCATGCATTCATGCTATCCATGGTGGGAGGATAGATTTGCTTTCATGCTACTTTTTAACTGCTTCACAGTCCCATTGCATCCTCCCGAGGGATTTGAAAAGAAAATAGCCAATTTTTATGTATTTCCTTATACTTATTCTTTTCGTCTTTTCATCTGGGGAGTATGTGGTCAGGGACCTGTGAGCCATGCTGAGATTCAGCCTGTGACATCAAATGGATAATGTTGCCAAATTGTCTGTAGTATTGACAGATGATTCAGCTACAATACGTGCTTCCGTTTCAAATAAATTAGTCTAAAACTGGTAGCCTTCAACCACTTAGATTTGGTATCCCTGGTGCAAAGAGAATGATACACATCAGGACCATTGGGTTGTACTGTTGTCACCTGGTAGCTTATTGCCTGTATGCATATCCTGCAAATAAAAAGTGACGAAGCCCAAAGGAACTGACAGCAGAGGGAAAGTGCAGAGAACAAGAACGTGGACGGCAGATGGTACAAATTTTAACTGATTAACAGAGTTACAACAATAATATTTGCAACAGTTAGCATAGTAAACGGGACAGTGAACTGAGAATAATAATCCTTGCATTTGATATAGCACCTTATCACGTCTTCGAGACGTCTCAAAGCGCTTCGCAGAATATACTGTAAAGTGAATTGACGTATATATTGTAGGCGAAATGCGGCAGCCAATTGCACAGAGCAGCGTCCTACAAACAGTCGTGGATTGGGGACTTTTTTTTGAAGGGATGAAAGAAAGCTGTTCTGATACTCAGCTGGTAAAGGAATTGAGCAATGTAGTAGAATTTTCCATTCAAACCAGGAGGTACCTTAGGTTTGATCCTCGTCTGCCCTGAGTTATCTGATTTCAGTGAGGGTGTTGATTGGAGCATAGCAACTGGCCTTGGTGCCTCTGGCTCAGATGGAGGATAATGATTCAGGCAGGTTCGGTGCTAAATCACTGGGAAAATCATGGCAATCACCCAGAATATCCAGTGTTTAAAAAAAACAGCATTATGCCAGTGTGTTCAGAGAAGCTTCGTGTTTGGCTACAATACAACCTCCAAAAGAAATAATTGTCCAGGTATTTTGGTTTGTTTTACAAGCTGTATGGGTTACTGGGTACTGTATCTTTGACATCCCTTCCCCAAGAGACACATTGTTATTATTGCTTGAACCCATTCATTAAACATTCTGTAAAGTATAGCAGTCACAATCTTTTACGAGATTCCAGACTGAATCAATAAAATACACTGAATACAATCAGGTTTCCCATTAAAGAACCACACATGATTGAGACATTTCAATCCAAATGTACAAATGTTAGCAGTAATATTTTATAATGATCAATAATAATTGATTCATGTGCATATTAGGTATTAATTATTGATGGGAATTGTACATTACTAACGCAAATGGCCTTTTTGTATTAACTGTCTCAACAAAATAATTCAATTTAACATTTGTTTCCTTCTATTCATTCCTTTGTCATTTCCCATAATACAGTTTTAGTTATGCTTCTCCATTGATCTATCATAGCACTAACACTAAACACATTGTTAAACACATACATATCAGACACACTAAAAAACCTTGCTCTCATGCATTTCCACTCACGCTTACACAAATGTGAGTGCTGGCATACCAAAGCTACGTACAGAAACAGACACTGCATGTCAATGCACAAGCACACACAAGATGCCGGCACACTGCAACACGTATACAATCCCTAACCAACAAACATGCTAAGCTTCAAACGCACTTCCACAGTCGGACAAAAATTCTCAAACACACCTTTTGATACATAGACATTTGCAGACTTTGAGTTTTTGTTTTCTAAGATGTTGTTGTATCTTACTCCATAGGTGTCAGTCACTGACACCAGATAATATCTGAACATCTGCAGTTTGAGTCCCTAAAGTATTGGCTCAGAATCGAGTTGTGAATCATTATATTGCTTCTCCAATAAACATTTGATCAGATGCAAGAGCAATCTCTGTTCAACTGGAAGCGGGTGCGAACTTTAATGAACTGTACTAGGTATCTGCCCTTGGTCTTTATTGTGACCAGTCCCAATTCCTTGGACCCTCCACCTAATTCCCTGATGTGCTTATCCAACACCTGATTTCCCTTTATCTTTCATCTGCCTTTCCTTTGCATCCGCCTCTGTCGATTCCATTTTGCCATCTTTCTCAGTCTCATGTCAACTTGCAACTCTGAACTTGCATCTCCATAAATGGCTTCTCTAGCCCCCACACCATCTTGTGCGGCATTCCGCATAGCTCTTCTTGGTCCCCTCTTATTCAATATCTATATGCTCCCTCTTGGTGACATCATCGACAGACATGGGATCAACTTCCACATGTATGGGGATGACACCCAACTATCTCTCTGCCTACACCCTTGGCTCCAGGACCACTGCTCTTCCTGACAGAATGTCTGTCAGACATCAAGTCCTGGAGAAGAGCTAACTTCCTTCAGTTGAACTTCAACAAGACCGAGGCTCTCCCGATTGGCTCCCATCAGAGCCTCCACACCTCAGGTGCTGAAAGCATCAACATCCAAGGATGCACACACCACCTCACTTAGCTAGTCCAGAACCTTGGCATCTTGTTTGACCCTCAACTGTCCTTTCTACCCCACATCCGTGCCATGACCCACTTTACCTTCCCCACCTCCACAACATTGCCCGGCTCCGTCACTGTCTCACAAGGCAGGCCACCGAGATCCTCATACAAACATTCATAACATCCAGGCTTGACTGCAAACTCCCTGCTTGTCAGCCTCTCCAACTCCTCCCTTCGTAGGCTGCGGATTATCCAGAACTCTGCAGCCTGTATCCTGCACCAGGCTCCGTGACCCTATCACCCCCATCCTCGCTCGACTCCACTGGTTTCCCGTCACACATAGGACTCCATTCAAGATCCTGGTCCTCACTTCCATGGCCTTGCTCCCCCCTACCTCTGCAAGCTCCTAAACCCCTACCAACCTGCCCGCTCCCTCCGCTCAATGGGCTCCAGTCTGCTTCATGTCCCTCGCCCACCCCACCATTGGCGGGCGGGCCTTCAGCCACTCTGCCCCCACCCTCTGATACTCCATCCCACAGTTCGTCTGCCTCACCCCCTCCCTTAACTCCTTCAAGACCCGTCTCAAGATTCTCCTCTTCGACTATGCCTTTGGTCACCCTCCTCCCCCCCCTCACCTGCCCTCCACCTTCCCGGTCCCGACCTCCAGCTCAGGTCAGAAACACTGGTTGTCCAGCACCTTGGGATGTCCTGAAAGGCAGTAAACAAATATAATTTGAAACTAGCCCCAATTGGGTTAATACTGTACTGGCTCTATATTTGCTTGAGCCAGGTTTTACCAATGACGTATTGGAAGTGTGTTAGAGAGGATTTTGATATGGATTGGAGTGAGTGTTAAAATAAAGGTGTGATATAGAATAGGGAATGTGGATATAGCAGAATGGGGTTGTGATATAGAATGGAGTACGAGTTATATAGAAGGATGTGATAAGAATTTGAAGGGTGTTAAAGAGAAAGTGCTGTAGGAAAATGTCAAAGAATTGCACTGATACGTTTCTTACCTACGAGAAATCAGAGGAAAGGGAGTGTGCAAGAGCTGATACAAAGTGTTGCCAGATAAAGCATGTACTCTGGTGCTAATGATAGTTGGGAGGGTGAAATTCCTCTTCCTGTTAAGTGATTTAATCTTTTCCAATTAAGATTCCACTTTCTCAAGATCCCTGCTCTTAGAGGCCACAGACATTTCTTACCTGAGAAATATCCCTGTGCATGTCTTCGACTGTTTAATCCAACAGTTTGGTGCAGAAACGTTATCTGTCTTGTCAGTGGATTGAATAGCGCATGAATTTCAGAAGGTTGAAAAAAATACATTTGTAATAAATTATTGATTCAAAGCCTTTGACAATTGGGCAGTCATGTGTCAAAATCCAACTTGTAGAAAGATCACAGCCTATGATGCCAAGGAACTAACATAGGG